TGTCGTCATCATTTCTCCCAAGCACTGCGCTGGGAGCATATACTAACGCTTCTCCAGTGTTTAATCCTTCGATCTGTTGCATGAGAGTATTGTCGTTTTCCATGGGGCCGATGTGTTTTTTAAGTGCGACATACCATGTAGGACTTGTAAAGCGATGAATGACGGTGACAGAGCAGAGTGCAATGAGTGCGGTAGAGACAGTTGGTTCCTGCGTGGAGATGATGACGCGGGTACCCCAGTGCCGTTGGAGACGAATGATGTTGTCGAGACTGTCCGTGAGAAACTTCGACCCAGGACTATCAAGCATGTACTGATTTTGTGTCAGCAAGAGTATTGTGATTGAACCTCAAGAAAACAGACCTTGTGCGCCTCGTCTAACACGACCATCTTGTTCTTGATGGGTGACTGTAGGAAGCGGTCCAGCCCTAGCTTGAAAAGAACACAGGCTGTACTAGATGTCATGAAGGCATCAGAAAGATCCATGATAATCATCTCGCCTGGGAGAAACTCCGGTTCTGCCGCTTTACCGTCCCGATCGAGGAACGACTCAAGCATTGTCAAACGTTGGTCAAGGGCTTGCTTCTGTTCCCTACTCAGGTCCAGCTTCTTCACTTCCCTAATAAATAAGTTGTAGTCAAGTAATCCATCCTTGCTTGCAGACGATATCTTTCTAAGTACCATCTCGACCTGGCTCATGTAAAGTGTAGGGCTCTTATCACCGACCCCCATCAATGCGCGCATGGCAGTGATGTCGAGAGCTCTTGCGTTGAGTTTGAACGGAACGACACGAACGTTGCGAATCGGATCTTCATAGCAGCTTCTAATTGCTCCATTGTCAGCAGAGACCAAAACGGTGATTCTTCGTACTTTCTGCCCGGGAAACTCGCGTTTCTCATGAGCCAAATGCACAGCTTCGCTGACACTGAATCCTGATCCACCGGTGCTCCAACTTCCGTAGCTAAACACCATTGCACAAGCAGGTGCTTCCAAGCGGCCAAGCTGTTTGGACGGGATCAATGCATTTTCGAGCATGCAAGCTGTAGTATGGCTTTTGCCACTTCCCTGAACACCGCAGATGAACGTGGAAAATGGAACATTAGTATTATGGAAAACCCTGACTCCTCGTCCGGCTTCATCTGGGTAATTGCCGATGTAACCGAATTGAGGAACTAGATCATTCACGTGTCGAACGACCACAGGGCCCGATAACAACGGCGCGTTCTCAACTCCGTTGACAGTCGCCTTGGGATTATTGGTTCGATATGCGTTTGGAACGAGATCATCCATGTCACTTAAATCTAGTTCTGGCCGATCGCGTTTTACGACCGTTAGCAACGCAACAGACGAAGGCGCCGAGGATTGACTTCTGGCTATAGGTACTGTCTTGGAAGAAGCCTGGATGGGTGAAGGAACTGTAGGCTGCGGTGGTACTGATCTTGTTGCCGAGAGATGCGATCCCAACGCTTGTGTTGCAGAAGACGCCTGCGATGTCAACACTTGCGGCGCAAGATCTTTCGATCTCGGGGGTGACACTGATATTGTTCTAGGCGCTGAAGTCGTGAGTTGCTGTGTTGGAAAGTCTGTCGCAGTCGGTCGTGATTTTGGGCCTTTAGCATTCTGTAATCGCTCACGACGAGCCCTGGCCTTCAACTTTTGGACATCTGTCACCTGAGGGAGACTGTTCTTGTGTTTTGATCCTGGACGAAGCCTCAAGCTAGTTAGTGAGGTAGCTCCAAAAAGATTTGAGTCTTGCTTACAATTCCAATGCTCGCCTGAGTTGCGTATGCTTCGTTTGATCCGGCTCTTGCGCTACGACCTTGTCGACGAATTTCGGCCAGCCGATGAAACTGCACGTGGCTTCATGAAACCCGATTTCAAAGTACATTTTGCGAATCCACTGATGTAACTCTTCATTTGTGTCAGGCGTCGCAGGAGATTGAGTATCGGCTTTCGCTAGCGTAGAAGTATCTATAGGCGCAAGGCGTTGCGACTGACCGTTGATTGAGCCACCATTGCTCAGCGCACTACCTACTTTGGTGTCTCTAGAAGACATCACCTGATCGAGGCTTTCCTTAATTATGCCCTTCGTTTCTAATAACGGCGACTTAACTTTCGCGCCCGAATATGCTGCACGCTACCTTTTTGCAGGTCGAAATAGGACAGACAGCTGGGTTATGATAGATTTATAAGCAGGCATAGATTGTAGTTCCGATGCTTTAATGGAGAAAGGCGGTGATCTCTGCGGCATTGATTGCTCTGCTGTTGATTGCTGCGGCGGTGATGAGTTTGGCGCTACTGTTTGCGCTGAGGACCAAGAAACGGAAAATTGTGGAATACCATATTTCGCTAGTAAATTCGTCCGATCCGCTGTGTACAGTTCCGCTGAGAATATGAAAGGCTGGTTTACGACGGATGTTGATGGTTTGGATTTCTCCACTGATGAAATTTGAAATACCGCAACCTCATGCGGGGGGAAGCGCCAAAGCCGAACGTTGTGGTGAAGAGGCCTCCGATTTCCTTTATCATCCGAAAAGTGCTTCTCGAAGTCGCTGTGCATCTGATTCACGACTTCATCTGGGTGGCTGTTTTGGGATCGGGTACGAAGTCATCTTTATCAGTTCCAGTCACTGCGTCAACAGTGTTTCGCAACCAGTTAATCATGAGCCAGTCGTAAGAAGGAAGCCGTCCTTGTGAGTAATGAATTAACTTGGCAACGGTGAGAGACTGGAAGCAAGCTTCGTGTTTCCCAATATCGATTCACGGTAGCCCCTGGCGTTACTGGAGAACCCTGCGTGGATATCCTCCGCTCTCGCCCTTGCCGTGACAACCGGGCATCTTAAATTCCCCAATTTCTTCGATTTCTACAACAGTATTTGTTGTTTTCGATGCGGGGATATCGGCTTTTCGGCGGAGCGATCATCATCGACGGCGTTGCCCACAGTGCGGATCCGACACGTCAAAAGAATAAACACCCACCAAGCCAGCACGCTCGCGAATTCGCTACTGATCCACCATTCGGTGTACATATGGTTACCCGAATAGTACGCACGATCGTGATACCGCCAAGATGTGCAATGTTCTAGCGGAGCAGTAAATCACGTTCGGTCTCTCTCGCGACGCTACCTAGGTGGGTATCCAAGTACGGCCGACAACCACGGCATCACGGTTACCATTCAAGCAACCTCCAACGAAACACGACCAAAGCCATGTCAATCGTACCGTACCCCAAAGCACAGCCCCGATTACTGACACGTACAAACCTCAGGCCTCAGCAACCCCGAAGGCGACATCACTATCCTCGTGTTTAGGTCCAGGCTTACAGCCCTACTCAAGCTTCATCGCATATATGTAGCAGATGACCGGCTATGGCAACTACATATGGCCTGTAGATGTGTCTTGTTTAGAGAGACGGTGTGTTTCAGATGTCTTCTATCAAGTCGCGGAGGTGGAAATTGACTCAAAGTTCAATCATTCTACTGTACCATGAACTAAATTTGGCTTCATGCTAGCTCATAACATGTCATGGAAGGTCCACAGGTGTTATAACATGGGACATGGACTATCATACCTCTCCAAATTATCCAGACCCACAATTGCCACAACACAGGATCACAACAACAAACAGAAAAAAGTTGATAATGCGATACAGCATCTTCATTGTCGTCCAACATAGCCGATACTACTACAGGACCCGGGCACTACAGCTACTCCTACCACCACTAAGTCTATTTCAGTTCATACTGATCTGTATAATATGTACATTTTTACTTTTCCTTCAACCACTAGACCTAATACTAGTCGTTTACGCGCCCTGGATGCGGCGGCAGAGAGGACGACCCCTCTCCAGAGTGTTGGGGTCGCAGTTCAGTCGGTTGTCCTCGATGCAGGTCAATTGGGCGCCGCCTGTATGAAATTGGTTAGCTTGGGCGACTTAGATGTAGATCGGGATGTATGGGAAACTTACAGTTGTTGATGCTGTCGGGAACACAGCGACCGCTAACTCCGTTGACAGTGCAGACATCCTGCTTCAAGCTGGTGTTTGCGACACAGCAAGCGCCCTCAGGCACGGGACGGTTGGCGTTGGCGCCCTGAGGCATAGCAGCTGCGAAAGCAGAGAGAGCGAGAACAACGGCGGAGATGGTGAACTTCATTTTGGCGGTTGGATTGTTTTGTTGTTTGTTGTTTTGAAGGTTTCGGTAATAGTGTTTATCTTAAGTGATTATTGATACCAAGAACCGACCAGCGGAAGAAAAGAATTGAATAGAGCGAAGTAGAGAGTAGTAGAGAAGACTGTAGTTGAAGATGCTGATGAGGCTATTACTTCAGGCGACACCAGGCACCTCTTATACACAAAGCCTCAGGAAGCTGGCTGCTTGCTGCCTCGGCAAGAAAAACCTCACGATGCAGGCGCATTACCTTGTTGGCCGCAACATCCGTATTGCATCTCGCGTCCTCTCATTCTGCGCAAAACTCCCACCGGTAGAAAACACACGAGACAAACACCAAACAATACAATCGGTTGCATCGGCCTTGAGAACTCGGCCACAAGCCTACATTGAGCCTGGCGGAGACTGGCGCATGAAGAGAATTGATACCTTGGCGCTCAGGCGCCCTTGTGGCGAGGCATATCACGATACGCAGATCATACAGGAACAATGCTTCTAGGCGCTTTGCGAGACGTCGGGTTGATGATGGTAGGGGATGGAGGGATGAAACGGTTATGCTGTACCTGTTTGGGTGGCTGGGCTGAAACGTTAGCTTCCGTCGTGGGTGGGGGAGCGAGAACCGAGGGTTCTGTCGAGGGCTTACTCCGACGATGTATGCTTGGCGCTGCACTGTACTACACTTTACGCATCCAATAGGTTCAGTGCTGAGTTTTCTCGTGATTCCTGCTATTTAAAGTCCTTTGTTAGGGCGACCCGCTGATTCACTCGTCTAGTACCACAGTCTCAAATTCAGTTCCGCTACCGAATATCTCACGCAGTCGGTGATGCTGCCTCTCATCCGCTTTCCAACCCTTCGATCGTTCTCTGTACCGTTCCATCGACACTTGCAAACTCAATCGCCCAGCTGTGACCCTTTAAAGAAGATAGTATTCTCCCTCTGTGCCCTCTCTCAGCTCGAACGTATCGATAATGTGGTATCGATCCAACCCTTAATGGTTTGAGATCACGTCTTCCACAATGTTTACAACATTTCTCTATTGCACAACGTCTGCGAGAAGGGATTTTTGTGAAAAATTCACCTGAGAGGCTTAAGACACTTAGTAAACAGCTTTTATGGCTTTCTACTACGTTGACGATCGCAGTGGTGTCGGATGTTGCGTCGAGACCGTCAATCTTCCTATTCATCTTGTAGGCGACTCGAAAGAGGAGAGCCTCTTCGCGCGACGTGTGTGTAACGAAGAAATGAGTCATGTTAATACGATTCATTCTGTGAGCAAGAGCATCCGCGGTTAGGGTTCGCTGACTAGCAAAATGGCATGAAAAGGTGCTATGCAAACTGCCAAACAACAACTGATGAGCTTTAACTTCTTGTTTGAGGCCACCCTTGTTGAGCAACCATTCTGTGCTTTGGGTGACACGCACGAGTTGCGTCCGGTTGATGATCTTGAGGCGCCAACGACCATTGATGATGATGTTATGAATCTTCCAATTTGTGGTAGTATTCGAAATGTTTTTCAAGGCATCATGCCAGATGACAGTGCCTGCGCAAATTCTGGGCTCACGATGATCATGCCCGTACTCGCTGCTGCCCGAGCGATCAGAAAGATTCGCATAGTCCATGTCGAAGATAATACATTTGTCCGAGTGATCGAGAATGTCACCTCATACCAGATCCTAGTATGGCTTGAATCTTGCTTTCTCTTTCTTCTCCTTGCGCTTCTTCTTCGCCGATCCGGCCGCTTCATCAAAATTCGTTCCGGTTTCTTCTGAGGGTTTCCAGGCCCGAACTTGACCGTCTTCGCCGCATGTGTATGTTGTGTTGGTCTGTAAAGGTTGTTAACTATGAAGAATCGAATTTCAGCCAAGGGGATATGCCTACGTGAACATCAGTGAATGCATCGCGGACGATTTCTTCGCCGTGAGCACCCGCAAAGGTTATGCTCTTATCGACATCGAAGCTATAGTCCAGAGGCCCATTGGTGCCCTTACTAATAGGGATGAAGTTGAGAAGACTCTCGCTGCGACAAGTCAGCTCTGTCTTGGTGCTTTAGCACTCGGATAACGACGTACCTATGCTTCCCTGCGGCAACAAAAGCTTGTTGCCCAGCCCATCCCAGATCTACCACATACTCACACCCCAAACCTTCCCTAACATCGCCCCACACTTTCGGCGCCGGCTCCTCTTCCTCCTCTTTCTGGCTCTGCAATGCGAAAAAACTGATCGTCTCATCCGTGCCAATCGCGTAAATGTCGGTGCCAGGATACATGAACCCTGCATGTGCGACAGCCGATCCATGGTTGACAACTTGGTACAAAGCATCGTCTTCGTCAGCTTGAGCAGTGTCGAAGATGTTGATTAGACCATCCGTGCTAGATGATAGTAGCAGAGTAGGGTGAGAAGGATGCAAAGAGAGATTTGTCACGGTGTCAGTGTGGGAATCCACGTATGAACGAAGAGGCGCTGATAGGTTGCGCTGGTCCCTAGTATTGGGTTAGTGGATATGGTACTAATCAAAGTGAGATACATCGAGATACCAAATGTATACTGGTGAGCTATTAGGACCGTCTTCGGGGTTTTCGATGCCAGCAGCGACGAAGTTTCTTTCTGCATCGCAAACCAACGCTGAGACGAGTTTGTGCGCTACGCTGACGGTCAGCCTTCTATTCCTCATGCTTCGCCAGACCAGTGTTGTCACTGTCACTCACGGCTTTCGATTTGCAGAGCTTTTTGCTTGCTTCGTTTATCCCAGAATCTTATTAATCCATCTCTTCCCGCTGTTGTGACAATGTTGCTAGGCGTATCATTCGCTCTCTCCAAACATGTTATGTTTTCATTTGCGTTCGTAATCACGCCATCAGGTCTCAGGTCTGCAGTATGAAAGCGCAAAGAGTCGTCTGAAGATATGGAAGCTAATTGATCGGTCAGGGAGTATGTGAGAGGGTCTTGTCGTGGCGCTGTCGAAATGATCTTGTAGATGTACGAGCCGGCTGGAAGCCCGGCGTCAGTGCTGAGGGTCTGTTTGAGAGGCGCCATTTGCGGTTTCAATATATGTGGGTGCCGGCGTTATCGCTGCACATGTGATGAACAGATAAAAGAGTTTACGTTGTTCCGCCTGCAGGGTTGCAAAAAGCGCAGCAGGTACGCGGTTCAAGGGGAAGAAAATTTGCAATCACCGAGTGTGGAAACGTTGCTTCGATCCAACCGTCATCGCATGTCTTGAGGCCTTGACATCTGGCTTATCGAAAGACATGGTATTCAAAAAGATGAAGATGAAGACGGCGCTTCTTAGTCAGAAACTTCGCGTCAAGCTCATGCGACAGGAAGATGGGTTGGCTAGAAAAAGCGCGACGCAGCATGGCTAGGATGTCGTAGGGCATCATCTTCAAGCTTTGCCTCAAACGATGTCATCAGGTCTGCATCATGCAGTAAGACAGCGACAATCACAGCGCAGAAACACAATATGTAGCCTTGATATGAAACTCGTGCAGACATAGTCTTGGTCAACACAAGCGATTAATACAGGCAATCCCTCTCCGATCCCTCCTGAGCCCCATCCACTGACATAACGCCAGCAGACAAAATGAGCCGTCATTCCCGCAGTTCAGCACGCAAGCGCTCATTGCCGGCGATATCGAGGTTCGTGAAGGAAAGGAAGTTGGCAGCGCGCACGCGAGAAAATATCGGGTGTCCGCAAAGTGGATGACTAAGTCGCGTAATGCTCAGCTGCTGATTGGGCCGTAGGGGGACCTCGGGAATCGGGAAGATTTGGGCTGGCGGCGTTGCGCATCATAGACGGTCGACCATCACCACACGACACTTGACAGCTCTGTCGATTGGCATCGGAGAAACTACACAATGGCTTCTCAGCGGGTATTTCAGCTTGGTCTGCGACGGGCCGCCGCGCCCAGTCTGAGGGTACAACCTGCGGGACGCATGGTCCAGCGGAGGTATGTCATAATAGCATCAAGCTCTCCCCGACCACTCCAGTGATGACTGCCATGCATGCGCAAAGCGAGACTGACGATGCATAATACAGACTTGCAGCAACGGAACACGCCTCGCAGTCTGAAGCCGCCGAGATCCTCGCGAAACAGCGTGTCAACCGCCCCGTCTCCCCCCACCTGGCCATCTACAAGCCCCAAATCACCTGGTACGCCTCGTCGCTCAACCGAATCACCGGCATTACCCTCTCAGGTTCCCTCTACCTCTTCGGTATCGCCTACCTGATTGCCCCATACACCGGATGGCACCTTGAGACGCAGTCAATGGTAGCCACTGTCGCTGCTTGGCCAGCGGCTGTGAAGGCCGGATTGAAGGCGTTCTACGCTTTCCCCTTCTTCTTCCACAGCTTCAACGGCTTGAGGCATCTGGCCTGGGACGTCGGTATTGGTTTCAAGAACCAACAGGTTATCCGCACTGGATGGACCGCTGTTGGCTTGACCGTCGCATTCAGCTTGTACTACACTTTCCTCGGATAAGATTGCAGTATTTGCTGTGGGAGCGACTGAGGGAATGAGGGAACGAAGAGGACTAAAGGGCATGAGATGGAGATGCGGGAGAGATAGAGGATGAAGTCAGGGAGGGAGAAGGAGAAGGAGAAGAACACTAGAACACGAGTGATGTGTGAGATTTGGAGTGGAGCACATCTTGACAGGATGGCGAGGAGGTCGAGTAACACCTGTACAAAGTCTATGTCAATTGGATGACACGAGTTGTTTCTTTGCATATCCTCGCCCGTGAATTAAGCTGAATGAATTTGAACCACGTTGCCAGAGGACATGGCAAGGACACCTCTGACCATTCAGGGCAGCTAGACTGGGTGGTTTATGGGAATCTGTATGAAAAGCTGTGGCTACTCTGTCTGTTGCATGCAGGAGTCTTGTGTGGGCCATGTGCCGGACATTAGTGAATAGCGCAAGGTATGTTAGTGTCTTTCAAAGGGCACTATACACAGCAAAGGTCGGTAAGCAATGCGGATACATCAGTTCGTAGTGTATGGGTGCGGAATGAACATGGCGTCCCACACTCAAGCGGCAAAGAAGGAGCGCTGCGCTTGGTCACTGACTGGCACATGACTACGCGTTAATTGGCGCGTAACCGTCTCGGCTGATTGCAGGTAAGACGTGTGGACAGCGGGGTGCTGCATTTTGCGACCAAGTGCATCCGGTATTGAGCTTTCGCAATGGAAGACTCGCAAGCCCCCACAGTGCTTGGAGATCTTTTCTATGATGTGAGTACCCGTCTTCTCCGTCGCGTCCGGGATGGCGCGTCGCACCCCGGTCGCCGATCGCTGGAGTTGGTTGACTGACGCCACACCAAGGACCCATTCCAACTCTCCCAGGCCCTCAGGCAACGGGCCTGCAGCGACAAGCCATTCCACTTCACCACATCGACCGAGAGCCATCACTCGGGCAATCGCGTTCCTTCCACCTTGGCCCTGGGCCATTCCCCGGATCACGCCTCTCTGCACCTGCCGCCCGTTGCGCTTTCCCCGTTCAATCGCGCTCTTTCCCCACGACGCGCCGCGACCGCAAAACATGTCAAACCTGCCCTACCCAAACATCACAGCGCGCCGACTTCCACTGGCAACATAAAAGAAGAGAACTGGGCTTTCAAGATGCACCAGAGTTTCAATATGATGGACGCGCCGGGGGACACTCAGCCGGATAGTCAGATGCTGAAGACATGGACGAGTGGCATATACACAAGCGAGGGCAGAGAGTTCAACGCCCCCAAGTCGCTCTTCCTTGACCATTCGGACGACGACAATGGCGAAGACCTGCCTACAGACGAGATGGATACGGCCGCATCCAGCCAAGACGAGCACATGCCGACACCCACCAGCCCTACCGTAGTCGATGCCGATGAAGCTGCAGATGCGCAGAACAGCATGGCGCCCACGAGCCCACTCAAGTTTCAAACACCGGCATTAGCAAATAGAAATAGGGGCAGCTCCAGCTCAGCTATGCACATCAATACCACACCCGCTACCGCTGCCTCTCCCTCAATGTTCTTTCCAGCGTTTGGCAATGGAGGTGATGGCGGCTTACAGCATATCTCTCTCACACAAGCCTTCAACAATACCCAGGCGCCTACCTCGCCTGCAGTGGGCGGTGTCACCGAGGATGTCGTATTCACACGCCCTTCGCCCAATTTCAGCCACTTGCGACACTCCAGTCCAATTCCCGCCTACTCCAGTCCTATCAAAGCCATACAGCCCGACACTCCGAAATCAGATCCTATCGCGCGGTCGTCCAGCGAGCCACGAGCCGATTATGTCACGGTGAAGCAGTCCCAAGAGAGGAGGAAGAACTCTGTCGGAGACGACCACAGCATGAGTATAGAGCAGGATAGCTGGCAAGAGCTTAGCAGGAAAGTGAAGGCGCAAAAGGCAAAGGAGCATGCCCACCGCCGGGCCGCTAGCTCCCTATCACACATCTCAGTACCCACACCATTAGTACCGCGATCCGGGAGGAGGGGCGTGGCAGACGTCAGTTTACCATCGCCTCTCAAGTCGAAGAGTGGGAGAAGTGGCGTACACGGCGAGTCCCATAACGATGATGATGATGACGACGACGAGACAATGGACGAGGCGTCGCAAACCATTGCGGTGAATGGAGTAAATGAGCACAATACCGAACAATACCCCAACGATCCGTCGCAGAACGCGATTCACGCCACACGGACTACCGTGAGACGCAATAGCAATGACAATAGTGTGCAGGTTCCTAAGACTTCTTCGCACCCCTATCGCACCCCCTCAGGTCACCCGTCACGGAATTCCACCCAGCAAGGAATTTCCTCCTCGCAGCTGCAACGCGAATCACAACAACACAACTCAGAAGTGCAGCAGCATCTGCGGGAGATAAATCGACCTCATAGCAGCAGGGAGTCTGTCGCTGTCATGGACTCGCAACCAGATGCGACTGCAGACTTCGATAGTGTACCACGACCAAAATCGCTGCGCTTCCCATCGTCACCATCGATGAACCAATATAGCATCAATCAGACTACCATGGCTACCAAGACGGGGTATACAAGTCAAGTCATCTCTTCGTCAATGCCTCCAATGCCACCCAAGTCTAGTACAGATGAAGATAAGACTCCTGACGGCGAAGAGCGCGTACCGAGCAGCCCTCCCCTCTTGAGACCCGACGATGAGCGAGTCGAGGAAGACGATCTGGAGTACGACGAGCACACCTATGATGAGTACGCGGAGGGAGTGGCTGAGCGGGACACTGCGACACCGACCCTTGACGAAGATACAGTCATGGAGGATGATGACGAGCTACCGCTTGCGGAACAAGATTTCGAACACAAGGCTTCCATAGAGCACCACGGTGAAGATTTGGATAAGGAACTAGATGTCACCGAACCCAGCAAAGTGCATCCAGAGACTGGACGTGGAGATCCAGAGACGTTCGAACAAGGTCAGCTTGTGGAAGACGTCCGCGACCGCTACCCGTCACAGCATAACGAGATGAAAAGGCCACCCAAACCACCGAGCATGCGACGTCAGAATACTGTTCCAGAGACTGATGCTCTCGACGAGACACAGCCCTCCCTCTTTTCTGACAAGGGTCCTACTGATGTTGCGGAGGACGGAACCACTGCACCGCATGACATCAACAGCACAGAGGCGTCCCACATCGCTCAAGAAGAGCGCTTTAGATCTGAGTCAAACAAGCTGGCACCTGTCAGCTCCAGAGGCAATGAAAGCGATGTGATCCGGGGAGACAACCGTATCCATTCTATTGATGATATCTACAATCTTCCCGAAACACAGCAGTCAGCAGCAGAGGACGAAGTTGAAATGCCGCGACTCAGTGGTCTCGAAGATGATGACGATGCTTTTGTAGCTCCAATCTCACCAGCTCCCCTATCAACGAAGAGGCGCAAGGTTACGTATGCCGCCAGGCGCAACGCCCCTCACAGTCCACCGAAAGCGACGACAGACACAGAGTCACTTTCGGACCCGCCTCCGTCACCCCGTCTCGAACAAATACAGCAAGCGCTTGAGGATACTCCACCAACTGCATCAGTCCTCGCACGAGAAGACCAAGGTGCTATTGCCGCCACGCGTGAAAGAGAAGCGGCACAAGCTCCGTACAAACGGATGACGACACTAAAATCAAAGGTCCTACCAAAATCTAGCAGGTCTAAGAAAGAGAGACAGGGTGCTCTTAAAACGGTGTCTAGAGAAGTCTTACAGAGCTTGTCTTCACCAGCAAATTCCCCGGCGAAACCAAAAGCTTCTTTTGGCGTTCGGAAGAGCACTCCACTTACGCCTACGAAGCATCGGGCCATCGTCTCCGACAAATCAGCCGATGTCGAGATGCTCGATGCTGATAGGGGGCCAGACGAGCCCGTTAGTTCCGTACCACATTCAAGCAACGTCGAAAGACCACATGAGGACATACCGCAACGGGCTGTAACCCCACCAGGGGAAGTCATTGTACCAAACCGAGTGTTCGCTTCCTGGCCAGGGAGCCATTATTACCCTGCCACATGCATTGGCCGTGCAACTGCCCGCCAGTTGCAGATACGCTACGATGATGGTAACACCACGTCAATGGATACAGTTCATGTTCGGGCATTAGATCTCCGCCGGGGTGATCATGTCAAGGTGGACGAGACTGGCATGAAGAAGAACACTTATGTTGTTGTCGGTTTCAAGGATAGAATCGACGATCTCGGTGGTGAGGAGTTCCCCACTACTGATCAACGTGGAAACACCACTATAGTTCTTGAGGAGCGACCCAGGGAGAGCTTGTCGAGAGGCAGAGCAATGCAGTCAGCTGAGCACATCTCGGTGCCCATGGCTAGCATCTACCTGACAGCTGGCCTTTGGAAACGACTTCGCGATCGACCTTTCAACTTCTCTCCGCTCATCTCACCCGCCAAGTCAGCTTCTCACATTGGCACTCCTATTACCGATCCCTTTACAACGCCTTCTTTCACCCGGCGAGGAACGGCAGTACCGTCACTACTGAAGGACGTTACCACACGCGCAGCCTCAGTAGCATCTACTACTCGATCCGGCAGTGGTGTCTTCACGAACATGGCTTTTGTCCTGACTTCCACCGCAGCAGACGTTGACAAGGAGGTTGTTGCTAAACAAATTAAGAGCAATGGCGGACAGGTCTTGGAACAAGGTTTTCACGAGCTGTTTGAGAGTGAGCCAGCGGAAGCACCAACATCGTCCCAGAACCGCCGTAGGTCAGCCTCTATCATCGAAGGGTCAGTTGGACTGGTGCTCAAACAAGCATACAAAGATCTGGGCTTCGTCGCTCTTATCTCGGACTCGCATTCTCGCAGCACAAAATACATCCAAGCACTTGCGCTCAACGTCCCATGTCTGCATATGCGCTGGATTCACGACTCACTCAATGCGTCGCGCGCTGCACCATTCATGCGGTATCTTCTACCCGCTGGCGTGTCCAAATTCCTCGATCCAAATGGTGTTGTACGGTCACGCACAATGACTTCCTACGACCCCGCTGGCGAAGATCTCACTTTCGCTCAAACCATCCAGGGTCGTGACTTTCTTTTCCAAGACCAGAATGTCCTCCTCGTCACCGGCAAATCCAAGAAAGAAATCGAAAAGCGACAACCATTTGTCTTCCTCTCCCACGCTCTTGGCTCTGCCACGGTCGGTCGCTGTGCCGATCTCGGCACCGCATCCGATATGCTCACCAATGGCAAGTGGGATTGGGTGTATGTGGACAACGGAGAAGGCGGTGTCGCCGAAGCTGCTGCTACTCTCTTTGGTACCGAGAAGCCTATTGCGAGTGGCAAGACAAAGAAGGGCAAGAAGAGAAAGAGAGACGACGCTGAGGTACACGAAGAGCTCCTTGTCAAAGGAGAAGTTGGTGGGAATAAGATCAAGATTACATGTGCGGAGTTTGTCATTCAGAGTTTGATCTTGGGTGCGCTCATCGAGGAGTAAGCATCTTTTCTTATTCTTTTGGTTCTTTTCTATGGGTACGGTGTTTATGATACACGCATGTAGCACGAAGATATGTGCAAAAGGCGTTTTCGGGTTCATGTACCATCACCATCTTTTGCTTTTTCGTACCACATAGTGTGGCGTCAAGTCAGCTTCTGTTTCTTTTTCTTCGTCAACTTCACAAAGTGTCGTTCAGCTGGTATAGCATAGTATGAACACTTTCATCGCCCTTTCGGTGCTTAGGATGTCTCGCAAATGACCAGCATTTTGTTCATCGGCATACTTTACCTCCACAAGCATGCATAAGTACTTCTTTAATCTTTCTGTGTTGCACTTGCGTGTATGACATGTCAGACTAACTTCGGGCAGCATGCATGAGTACGCGCGGCAGGAGTAGATATGATGTACAGTTTGAGTTGAGTCATGTAGTCCTGGGCCACATTGGAGGCGCCGTCAAAGGGCCGAGTTGCATCCACAACACTCTTTGATCGTCAGATTGTCTCCATCTATGTAAGACATTGACGCGAGTGCCATGGAAGTAACTCTGCCACAGCACAAATCTAGCGACGCAGGGTTGTTCGGTACGGAATTCACTGAACGAGCTCGAGGGCCAAATCCCACGCAGAGGTTCTGCCGAGGATACTTGGACACGCAGTATTAGCTAGAGACGCGCAGCATGATGTTAGATCTGACGTTGTGATGGTCTGCCTGAAGTGGGGTATACTGACCTGCTTAGTCTCCAACCCCATTCTTGTTAGATCTCCCGCAATGACTGATGTACGAGAGATAGGCGTTGTACAACATCAACTCAGTAAGTTGCAGAGCTCTCTTCAAACGCAGCCTTCCAAACAGCAAGTAATGAATCATAATGCCAGAGACTACCAGAAGGAAAGCACGGCAATGAAGGGCACGAGCTCGCCCCCCAATATCTCAACCAGTGTTATGGGAAAAAGAAATCCAGATCGGAAAAACCATCGACAAATAACATCCGTTCCATCCACTAAGGCACCACCGTCACATCTTCCACATATACAGCTCCCTCGCTAATACATGCGTATGCATGTCACCAACTTCGTTTGCGAGCCTACGTGTGAAGAATAGATGGGCTGCATGTCCGGATTCCGTAGCTGAGCGCCGCGCGGACTTTTGACTTTCTCTCTCGCGCAACCGAGAGAGGGGGTGGTTGCGCTTGCGGCCTGCCACCCACATACGTGCCGCTATTGAATCTGTTCAAAAGCTTCTACGGCAGACCACGAGATCAACGATGTTCCAGATGCTCAGTCGCAGACTGTTAGTCCAAATCTGAATAGAGGTACATGTGTTGTGGAGCTATCATGACTCTTTTGGAGGCATGTTATCATGGCGCATGACAACTCGACAAGTGATAAAAAATATCACAATGACTGATATCACGACGTATTGAGTCATGTAAATAAGAGGGGGCCTGGTCGATATCCTAGGCTGTAGGAGTTCCTCCCGTCTGGCTGCTAGCAGTGACGGTAGTGACAGAAGGGTCTCGCCTTCGGATAGCGTTCCGGGGATAGCTGATTGGCTATCGAGCAAGATTACTAGCGTGACCCTGTTCCAAGAATCCCATCTTGAAGGATCTGTGTGTAAACGCCCAGACGTAATCATTGAAGCCATGACCTCGCGAGCGCATTCTTTGATTACCATGAGCAGGATTCTCTAAGAATCGTACGTTGTCCTTCTCAACCGTAGGAGCAGCTAGCGGCACCCAGAGCTAGGCTATCACACCGATCGACAAATGTGTAGACGTTATGGGCTTACCGAGCCTCAGTGGAGAAACAACATGCTTTGCCGATGTGTGACACGATGTCTTGCATAAGACTTTATGCGCTGCTGACCCGAGGATTGCCACTCAAGAATAGACTTTGCCGGTTCAAAACTGAGACAGAATCCTGTTGCTTCACGCATCCTCTTGACAAACGGCCTGGCGACAAGTGTTGGTGTTGACGCAGCCACACGGCGCAGCAGGGTAATGTGAGCCGAGAGCTAATGTTGCGGTACCCACACCTCCGAAAGGTAATACGCGGCTTCCGTCAGTCGAGCATCGGTACATTGCCTGCGCCAGACCATTCGCAGTAATCACTATCAAGGTGGTGGCTTGCAAATGCCGCCTCTCCCCCTTGCACAAGCCTTAGCGCAGGCGTCGCTACGGCTTTCACGTCCGCGGGGTAACTTAGTGTGCGGCGTGGGAGGCTAAAAAGTAAAGAAACTTTAAGAACGTGTGAAACGCCAATGGCAGTGACATGACACTAAAGCGGCATGCAAAACGACGTGGACGGATTGAGCGTGCCGTTATTGAGATTCTCAGTCGATTGCTGTCGCGTATGGTACTCTGGAATGTTCTCCATTGTTGTCACCTGGCTAGAAAGCAGATGATTTTGTGGGAACGACTCCGGCTCATATGTAACCGCGCAAGAGTCTCCGTATGGGGCAACGAAAGCGAACGGGGCTCGATGTTTGGAGATCTATGCTCTCCCTGCTTGCTAAACGTGTAGCTCGCGGAATGGTTTCCCTCGATAACATGTCGCCATTCGGGGGTCACGGCTACATCGTGCACTAAGGTAAGCAGTCGGACACTGTCTGCTTTCGGTAAGCGATTTGCCTGATGATTGCCAACAGACCGGAGCGGACAAGAGCGCATTGAGAGACAGGTGCGGAGTGCGGAGTGTACCTGAAGTTAAACTTCCATCAACATGAGCCCAACCAAAGTGGCCTTAATAATCTTACATGACTGGGTTCGGCTGTGATCCGAACGGACAATACACCAGTTTCATTTAAGTAGATACATGGTCCGCGTCGATCCCAGCGGGAAGGCTCTCTATCACATGTCCGACCGTTGATCATAGAAGCGCCAAAGTGGTGCAATTCTTTCAGGCCGGGTTGGCATCTGATGATTTCTGATCAGACGTTTGGAATCGGACCGATATCGCCGAAAGACTATTGGTGGGAATCTTTTCCTGAGCTCTGAAACGGCCTCGGTAAGACGCGAAGTGCTGGCTCCGAGGTACTTGCTTGCCTAAGCCTGTTGTGATCTTGGATCTTCACGGGTAGACCAGGTTCATGGATCAAGGTCCTTGCGCAATCTATCCTCTGGCAGGGGTTAGCGGAAGGATGAAGGTTTGAGTGGGAACACCATCAAGCAGTCACCCCGTCTGAGTTCGCTGAACCGAGTGCGAAATGGCAGGTGAAGGCGAGCGCTATGCGTGCATGACGTAGTTCGGCATTTAGGTAGACGCTCCCTCCCGTAAACGAATGCGACACCTTACGAGAGAAGTGTAGTACAAACATCGATTGCGTGTTCTAGGTCCACCATTGTTGGTCTTGCTTCTCAACAAAGCAGAATAGCCAGAGTAGGCTCATATGGGCCCAGTTTGCCGCTTCAGGACAGAACGGCAACCGGGTAATTCCAAGTTGGCGGAGAGGCTTCCTTCCCGATGTAACACAGCCACACGTCCGAACCGTCAAATGTATTCATAAGAGAACACAATTTGTGAACTCAGACACGGTGGAGTCCTGGCATGTAGGCAGCACGCTCCGTAAGCTAGCTTAATTCTTTTTTCAATTTATATCCTACGTTTGAATGCATGCGAGATCCTTCGCAGAATTTCACGAACACCATTTTAGGTGTCGAAAAGACAACGGTCGAATAAGGTTCCAGGGACACAAGTCAGGTGGTTCGAGCTCGTCGTTGTGCTTAGATGTTGTGTTAGGCCGTCGAACCTGATGTGGGAGAGAAACTGTCAAATGCACAGGCGAGCAAGGGGTATATTTGAATCTGGAATTCGGAAGGTGCCGATGGTCGTTAGAGAAACTAGAGTAGAAGCTGCACGTCATAGTTCGTGCATGCGTGTTGGCCTTCTAGCGCTTCCATAGATTGATTGCTATACTTGCTCATTAACAATGCAGGATCTGCGGTAAGGGTGCTGTATCGAATTGATTTTATGCTGGTGGGAGGAAGATAAGGAGGTAAAACCCCTTGATTGAGTATAGCGCACAGCCAGGAAGCGTGTGCACTTGCATATGTAAAGTGATTAGGGGACAGGTGCAGCATCGGCGATGAACGATGGATTGCAGCCCTGGAAATCTCACTCAGGAGCTACGACTGATGGGGGCTAGTGCTTTGGACCCCGCCCCCGCTTCCTTCATTGGGCAGACCTGTCAGAAAATATTTACAGAGAATCACTGAGACACCCGAAGCGCAAGCCGACAAGCAAAAATGGCAGGACTAGACGAAGACGTTGTAGACGAGGTCCTGTACTTGGCGCGAGCGAATGAAGCAGCTGAGCTCGATTCGTACATCTCCGAATTGTCCACACAAACGAAGCGATCAAAGACCGAACTCTACACTGCGGCTATCGACCCATATTCGAAGAATAGCGCGCTGCATTATGCTGCTGCTAATGGACACAACGGTAACTTCTCCAGATACTCATGACGGGAAGCATGTCTAATTTCTGGCATAGACGTCATCAAGCTGCTGTTCTCGACCGGCGCTGAGAAGCCCGAACCCACATTCCTCAACGCGGTCAATGAAGCAGGCAACACACCCCTCCACTGGGCCGCGTTGAATGGTCATCTCGAAAGCGTAAAACTTCTCATTCACGCCGGTGCCGATGTCACGATCATCAACCGAGCGGGCCACGATGCGGTCTATGAAGCGGAGATCAACGACAAGAATGAAGTCGTAGACTGGCTCCTTGGAGCCGTGGAGGAACTGGAGAAAGGAATTGGACAGACTGGCGAAGCGGAAGCGGAAGCTGGAGAGAACACCGACGAGAACATGGATGATGCAGACGCAGAGGCGGAGCATGCCCAAGGCAACAGTGCATCGGCGCAAGGGACTACAACTGCATCAACGGTGGAAGACGTCCAGAAGCAGATGGCGGACCTAGGTACCCAGGATCTTGCGTCCAAGGGTGGCTGAAGCACCTCGACTGTTGGCCGCAATATACATATATTGCTGACGGCCTGCAGCTGCAAGGAACCGAATCTGCCCCTGATGACGTTGGGTTCACGGCAAACACAAAACCATGTGGTGGGGTTTGCACAAGATAGCGTGCATTGCAAAGGCAAAGCGCCGAAAGATTGACATGGCGCACATGGGACCGGTATCTGGGTGGTGAACAAGGCAACAGAAATGCCATTGTATCTACGGGCTATGCACTGAAGAGTACAAAGTGTTTTCTAGCTTCCAGCCGTGGCTACGAGCAAGAGAAGCTTGCTCCCGCTGGTAACACCGCATACATCCAGACTAGTCAAGAAGTGGACCAGCTGTCATAATTGATCATCCGCTCGAGTACATGATGAGCGATAATCATGGCCAGGCATAACATGTGTAGTGTGTGCCGCGGCGCTGAACGAAGAGCTAAGACGTGTAGTCCCTTCATGCTACAATGTCGCATCCATAAGCACCAAGACAAGCGTGAGATCCTACCTTCACTTAACAGACGAGCAGTCGTCAATTCCAAGGATATGGCCCAAATCTAGCCTGCATTAGTGGTCGTTTTGAACCTTCACTGTCTTTTCTTCTTCTTACCGCCCACACAATCAGTCGCGTAACCAGGCTCTGCGCTTCGCTTCTTTCGCAGCCTTGCGCTTCTCGTTAAACTCCTTAAGCTGCTTTTTGCTGAGAGGCCGTGCGCGACGCTCCGCCTTGAGACTACGTCCGTCATGGCTGTTGGCTGCAGCATCAACGTCGAAGAAAGCATTCATTTGGCGACGGCTCTTATTCTCGTCGTTGTGCATCTCAGGGCCTTGACCAGTTTGTTGCTGCTTGCCGTTGAAGCGGTTGAACTGAGCAGTTGTTGTGTAGTCATGACTAGAACCGTGCGCGTTACGAGCGGCGAAAGCTGCAGCAGAGACGGCCTGTTGGGCGTCCTCTTCCTCCTTCTCTGCCTCCTTTGCATAGTCCGCATTGGGGTCAAAGCTACCATGGATCTTTGGGTTGTAGCCACCCCACTTGCGCTTTGGAGGAGACCTGGTGCCCGGAGCGCCAGAGCTTGATGTCATAGCAGCGGCGGCACCGTGATAAGGGTGTCTGTGAGATGCACGTATTAGGCTGAGAAAGACATAAAATGAAGATGATAGTTAGCAAACCTGTCGTAGCCATAGCTCTGGGCAGAAGCGGTCGGGACACGCGGATTCTCCCACTGCGAGATGCCGGTCTTGTGGTTGAAGTAGTACCATGCGCCAGCGTTGTTGTCCCACCTAGCCTCCCAGCCGTCATCCTCTGCGTCTGGGACGGGCTCGTCGGGTAGGGGAGGCGCGCCACCGTCGTAAGGCAGCGGAGCAGACGAGCTCGAGCCGTAGCTGGCTTCCCGGTTGGTGGGCTTGACCTCTGCGGCTTCCGGTGTGTTGGGGCGGCGGTCGCCTTGCTGCGCAGTGGCAGCGGGTGACGGGTTGCGCGCCAGATCTTTGTCGCGAACCTCAGTAGCCATGTCGCAGGATTTTCTGTGCACTTATATATGTTAGGAAAGATGCGCCTGGGTCAGAGATTCGCAGCATGCACGTGGTTGCCAAAGGGGTTTCGGCAAAGGCTGACAACGGTGGTGTTGTTGTGGTGGTGACAGTCGACTCGGTCGCACCTGCACAGAGAAGTTCAGACCTGGCTTGGCGCGACGCTAGCTGCGTAAGCAGCTATTAGCGTATACGTGACCTTGGCGTTCATTCCCGGTACCATTGATACCCCATCATTTGCACTGACTCGCAAGCCGCTTCGCTTCGGTCCAGCTCAACGGCGATCCGCTTGTGCCTGCGCCTTGGTCCTTGTCAGTTCCCGGCCGCTCGCCTGATCCCTCGGTCCTTTGTCTCATAATCAATACGGGAGGTACGAAGATATTGTGGGCGTCATCGCCGACAGCGGGAAGCCACAGCCGATCCTGGACCATCGTTAGGGCAAGCTCGATTGCACAGCAAGCACTTTGCGTACGCATGCTCGATTACTGCACCGAAAGACGCGACGGGGCCATCTCGTGTCAAGCCACTACGGCATCCGGAGAAAGCCCTTATTATATGGAGTCTTAGGACGCCCGAAGATGCGCATGGACTCGGGAGTGCAATCAAAGAAACCGACCGCTAGGCTTAGAGCCGTTCGGCGCGGGCCAAGCTGGCTTCATGCAAGCAAGGCCAGAGGCGTTAGGGGATCCGGGACGTAAGAGGATCGAGATGGGCTCAATCGCCCGCTCAACGGCTGCTGTGAGCTCGTTCCGATCGGATTCTGGTGCCGCTTTTAGTCAGGCTTTTTTCGGCGTCTTTTTGGCTGACGACAACGGCATCGCCCGTGTCAGCATTTGGCATCAGCCTTTTCAATGTTGAGCGGGGACAAAAGGCTTCTCGTTGGCGATATAGGGCCGGCCGCCGGGACACCTGTCTTCTTGTTCGCATTGTTGACGGCGGCTTATTTGCCCTCTTTTCTCCTGCAGCGAGAGGCGTCGTTTATGGTGGCTGCACGTTTTAGCTGTTTCCAGTCCTTGGCCTCAATCTAACTGAAGCTTATTGGACGGAACCGCTCCAGAACCTAACGCCAGGTCCCAGAGTTTCGCGGCAAAATAGCAAGGACATGTTCGCTGCATTCCGAGCTCACGCTGCATGATCTGCACAGGTCATTAGCGGATTAGCTGCGGTTGGCCAGCTGCCAGTTGGTACGATCTGGGGCTCACATTGCCCACGCGCCATCCACGACTGCAGTAACGTGCATCAGTCTGCATCTGACGCAGCACGCTATCTAGCCCGCTGAAGGCGGTTGACTCGATATCTGCAGCCAATATTCCGGCTGGCTTGCTCCATACCCTGGCTGGTCCCAGCATCTTCGGGTCTCAAACAGCAAAGGCTCCACGACCATGTCCCTGGCGGTCCGTCACTGCACGCCACTGGAATAATCGCTGACCTACTTGGAGGCCGCGGTCGCTCCTCCTTGAAGCCTGTTCTTACAAGGGCCTCCTGGTAAGCTCTTGACTGGCTGAGCACGGGGTCCCGCTGTCGTCCGCCCACCCTCACTCCTGCTACCCGGGCATTATTATACTTATTGCTATTATCCTTTGCCTTACGTTCAAGCAATCGAAGCAGTGCTCGCTGCGTGCTCAGTGTCAATTGCGCCCAAAAGGTGCGTCCGCGGCGCATATCATAATCCCTGCATCTGTAAGTTCTTCCCGTGTCGCCCCTACATACGCTCTTACATGCACTGTTGCTTTGTGCTTCGGTTGCGGTTCATAAGGAGCCGGAACAGTGGTGCTCAGTCGCCAGACGTCAGCCCTGCACGGACTGTTGTTTCTTTGGTCTACTTTCTAGACTGCAATAGCTCGCAGCGGACATCCCAGTCCAGGCCAGACGCTTCTGTTTGTCGGCCACCTTCCTGACTTCCTCACGTACCTTTATGTACCTGTTAAGTTGACCATTAGCTGATGCCGTGGCTGCACCAGTGTCAAGTCTTGAGCAGTGCCTGGATCTCTTGAGCGTCCTAGGCAGTCAATAGCTCCTGCTGTTCTATATACCCTCATGTGGTCGGTCAACGGGGTGTACCGTGGAAATCATCCCACTCCAAGCGCCGAACATCAAACCGCATCTTACCTGCTATGCTTCTCAATATGAGTCGTCCACCCAGCATACCCTCACATTCAGGACCTCCGCCCTCCTACAGCCCTTACCCGCCACACCATGCTTCATCGTCTCGGCCAGAAATCATCGCCCCTAGCCAGCACATCCGTCCTAGAGATTCCAGTGGAAGCCATAACAATGCGCAACAACTACCCAGTCTTCGCACGCTCTTGGAACCAGAGCTACTCGACAAGAAGTCATCGGATCCATCATTGAGGGCGGGTGGCGCTCCGGCACTCTACAACCATTCTGGGCGTTATGGGTCTTCTAGTCCGACGTTGAAGAGACGGCATGAATATGATGGTTACTTCCATGGCCACCCCGAGCATAATGCTATCGCTTCTCAAACGCCCTACCACCATCGTCAACCTCTGTCAGGTACAAACGCTACACCATCTACCTCGTCGTCGACGCCAGGCTCGGGGTTTGGCGTCAGTCGGGTAGATCTCCAACGGCGTGAAAGTTTCGCCCATCCTTCACAGCATGACCTAGTAGGCAATGGGCATCGGCAAGTATCGCTCATGTCTGATGCGACGGGAACGATGACAGCCCACTCTAGTCAGCAAGAACTAGGGTTTGATCCGAATAGACCTGTCAGAATGAGACGACTGGAAGGTTCTTCGCGCGCTCCAGTACGATCTTCGCGTTGTGTTGGACAACGTGATATACCAGGCGAAGGCCCGTGCTACGTCTACGAGGATGGCACCTATTGCCGGGCTATAATAGACGGCGAAGCGGTCAATCCTTCATGGGGTATCACAAAGGCCGGTAAACCTCGAAAGCGACTTGCGCAAGCTTGCCTGACCTGTCGAGAGAAGAAGATCAAATGCGAGCCCGGATATCCAAAGTGTCACCAATGCTCCAAGTCGCAAAGGGTGTGCAGAGGGTAAGTGAACCTCGCTGTTTGAGACTTTCTTTCTTTTCTCATTCGAGAACATGGAGTGCATTAACTTAATTGGTCCGTTATGCTTTGGACCAGACAAGGCTATACTTGTATGATACAATGACAAATACTAACGACTGGTAGTGGACTCAACCAAAGCAATGCATCCGGCGAGACCTCACCGTCGAATTCCGCTCCGCTATTTAAGAATCCGTCGTCCGAAGTCCTAAGTCCTGCGGCAACCTCAGACAGAAACAAAGCTCCTGGAGAGCTGCGAGACTCATCAAGAAAGGTCGACACGTGGAACGCCGGAACCCCTTTCAGATCTCGAAAATTCCGTCCCAACACTGCTACAGATCCAAGAGACATGTCGGTGCAGTCATACGATTCGGATTGGAGCGGCTCCGCAAACGACCAGGGCTCGGGCGACCCTGTACGCGGCTCTTATTCTGACTACCTTGCCCTCCAATGGGAACAGGATCCTTTTGAAACAGACCCCGGACTTACCATGCGTCTATTGGACCTTTATTTCCTTCACGCCGGTAGCGCAACGTACGCCATGTTTCCTCGTCGACCTTTCCTCGCATGGGTAGAGAACAATCGCGATAAGAGTCAGGACCATCTGATGCTCCTATATTCCGTCCTTGCGATGGGCTCTCTCTTCTCGGCTGGTGAGGACAGGGGAGCTTTAGGGAAAAAGTTTACTGCTGTCGCTTCATACGCAGCAGAAAAACGGTTCGGCAAATTCAGTCTGCAGTTGTGCCAGACTCGACTGATGCTTGCGCTCTACAACTTCGCTCGAGGCAAATCACAGGAGGCGTGGGACTATTGCGGTGCTGGTTTGCGAGCGCTTATTGCACTGAAATTGAACTCTGAAGAAGGTATTAAAGAGCTGGCCGATAGCAACGCCGATCTGGACTATGGATTTGATCGTCAAACCTACGCAGAATGCTGCCGCCGCACTTTCTGGTCCGGATTCCTGATGGATGTAAGTCACGATATCGTGGACACTCCAACATCCGTTGACATGTTGCAACAACAGCGATACAATGGTTTCTTTGGAGGAACTCCCTTTGTGATCAACCTGGAGGATGCCTTCGTTAAACTTCCATGCCTGGATAGCATGTACGACGCATCAACCCCGTGCGATGCACCATTCTTCGACGAGGAACTTCTGAGCGCAAGCGCTATACCCCATTCTGTTCTAGGGAATACGGCATACCTATGCCTAATATCGGCACTATGGGGTGACGTGCTTACCTTTACGAGTCGTGCTGCGCGCCGCCCGGACAGTGCCTACGAACAACACTATGACATCTTCTATACAAAGATGAACGAAAAGCTGAACGCCTGGCATGATATGTTGCCAGAGAACCTTCATTACACCCCGCAGAACCTGGACAAAGGCTTTGCTGATGGATATGCGGGCACATTTTTGTCGATGCACGCTTTGTATTACGCTACAATCATCCGACTCAATCGTCAGGTGAGAGTTAACGTACTGCCAGTGGACAAAATACGCCGAAATTTGGAGCGGTCAATACGTATGGCGTCTAACTTCCTATCGATGATGCTTTCACAAGCTCCCGTCAACCGCCACCGACGTCCTACACCCACCGTCGCACCAGAATTCTCTTTCTCGACACCTTTCCCTGGATACGTGCTCATGCTTTCGGTTGATGTATTGACGTCTGCGGGGCTCGTTTCGTCACTGCCGACCTTCATCGAGACACTCAATACGACACTGACGTGCATCGACGAATTGACGGGCTTTTGGGCGTCTGCAAAGGCGCAGCAGAAGATGATCTCGAATCGCATCAAACAGCTGACGGAAATTGCCGCACAAGAAGGCCAAGGCATAAGAAACGGAAATTACGGGAAATTCTGGAGGATCAGCAACAGTCTAGAGACGGCATTCGGAAACGATGATGCGCTGTACAAGACTGAAGATCAATTGCTTTTCGGAGTTGTTGGTCAGCTTACGGGTCAGTAACTGCTTGCCCCGCATAAGATCGCTATGCGACGAATAGAACCGCGGATAATACCTCTCTTGTTCAACAGCATCGAGTGTGCATGCACTGTTCGTGTTTGTCTTGGATCTGAGGCTCTGACATAGCGTTACACGTTGCATAAACCTCGGCCCGATCTCCAAAACCGCCTCACCTGGTCGACGTGCCTAGCACAAGCACGAGTCCGCATTAACAGAAACATGGATCCGTGGGAATAGGAGAGCTATCTAGTGGGTTACCACGTTCCTGGCACACGTTGAGGCATGGATGATATCCGCATGCCATCCTACAGCTCCGCCATGGCTAAAAGTTGTAGAACCGCTATCACTTTGTACTAGTACTATTTCCAAAAGTTCTACCCGAAGTTTGGGCATTGGCAGCGACTTCGGTCTACAATTGGAATACGCGATATCAGTTTTCTCATTTTAGCACTTCGATTCTCGAGCATTATATCATGGAGCAGCTTTGTACTATTACCATATACCAAAACATGTACGGATAATGAATAGCGAGTTTCACAAGCATATAACAAAAACACACAGATTGCCCATCCCCGCAGGTCCGAGAAACCATGTCACGCTTATCGTGAGACAACATGATCGAGCTTTGCTGCAGTACACCCTCACACAGCACGTTCGCGTTCTCCACTAAGAAGTACCCGTACCTTGCACCTCGGGTGCTACACTTACGCCGTGACCGCAATAAGCAAGCAGCAAGACTAGGTTGAGTCATGCGGGGACGCGGGAGTTTCCAAGCCACGTTGTCTAGAAAAACGCCTAAAGATCAGGTGTGTGTGACCCGTAACTCGACGCTTATCGTGCTCTCCTCTCAGCTCTGTTCAATCTATGGTTCACACCACTACGGGGACGCCTTCGGTCCACATCAACAACCAACAAGAGCAGACGAAATCGCTCAGGTGCAAAACCTCCGCGGATCGATGGTCGATAATTGACTGGTTGAGTGGTATACAGCAAGGAGGCAATCATGACGACATCACACGCGTTCAACTACCGATCATCATTGGTACCGATGTGCACTGCCCAGGTTTGTGGCACTGAAGCCGCGATGCATGCCGTGTGATCACATTACTGCCTATACGACGTTTACTGTGAGTCGCCGGGGATTTGGGTGCGAAGGAGTAATAAGCAGTAGTAGTGCGCCCCCGCTAAAGGACGCGTAGCTAGCAAAAGTCCACGACTACCGATAGCACGGACAAGTACCGGTGCGCTGTTCACAGGCGCAAACGCGACCCTCCGGCTGATAGCCCGTAGCTAAAGATTTGGCGTACCAACTCCCGCTTTAGACTGTCGGCACCTGCCAGCGCATGCGCGCGAACAAGCAAGTAAGCTCATCGTCTCCTCTTTGTCCGAATAGGAGAAGCAAAACACCGGAGTCGAAATAGAGCGAAAGTTTATTTTTCGAGCGACCTGGATCATTGCGGCATGACATAATCTACCTGGGCAGCCACCATGAGTTTGACCACTGACCAGGTAACCTAACTTGACGTCCCAAACTTTCATCCTAGCTTGACACCCTTATTCTACGACTACCGAGCAAAACGCAAGCCTACCTACCAAGTACCCCGAACCTCAGCTTCCGGAATTTGTCAGCCAAGCTTACGGCACGGTAGATTTTCAAATGTCCGGTCCGACTTCTGTACGTTCTATGCCGTTCCGGCTCATGATTTTCCAAGCATCGTGAACTTCTGCCCCCGAAATACCTCCTACTGCATAAGGTTCACCTGGGCAGTGTTGGCTATTTTGCAAGTGCGCACCTTCCGCTCCGGGCTAGAAGTCACAGCTAGAGCAAGGACAGAACATGGACAAGAATCACCTCACAATGATGGCGCTTGCGAGAAGCATCTCCCTATTTTCTCGTCTTCCTCCACATTCCGAGGGGTGTATTAGCACTAAGTTCTTCCTGCTATTTGCATACAACGTTAGTAATCAACGGTACGGCGCGATAGCGGTTGGACACCGTGCTTGAATGCTATATTCGAACACCTGTGCTATGAAGCGCTTCTCGGAGATTAGAAAATTTAAACAACACACTTCTGATGACCGAGACGAGCCGAGGCTGTTCACTTAGAACTGCAACTACCGTCTCTCAAGTGGGGACAGTGGGGACAGGCAACGTTGGAGGAGTACAGGGCGATTGGATGACGGGCAGGATCCCCGAATATCATTTTTAAAGCAGCGGCTTGTAAGCTCTCAAAAGTCTAAGTAAGCACCTAGTGAAGGAATCATACGATGTCCAGGGATGAGGTTGCTGCCTATAAAGGGAAAGCGATCTTCTTGTTGAATGACGAAATGCGTAGCCTCGGCACACTCTTGAGCGTAGTAGCGAGAGATGATGTATCCTGTAGGAGTTGAGAGCGATTGGATGGCAGTGCTAGGCCATTCGGGATGTAGTTGCCGAAGTCGATGCCTGAGCAGATACCATGTCGTAGTAGAGAAGTTACGCCTTATACCACAACAAAGTGGCTATACCCAAACTCACGGTCCCAGACCAGGCATGACACCAACATGCATACCAGGTTGATTCCAACTCGAAGTCAGAAAAGAAGCCGAATAGAAGCAAGATTTCTGATAGCTAAACCCAGCTGGTGGAAATCCATTCCTAGACGTGTAAACATGAGTGTGTTTGCGCGCTACCGCAACACAACATAAGTCATTTTCGCTTATCGGAATGAATAAACCGACTACGGCACGTAGTAAGTCCGTAGATAGGCCTTCTCGGCGGATCTTTGGTGTTTTAGAATTACAAGGTCAACTTCCTTGGCTGCATATCTCCCGGAACTCTGCTTGGGTTTTGCTATATCCACCCGAAAGTAAAGGAGTATCTCAAGAGAGGATAGGAAGTCTCTTGCCTAGCATCCCTTGTCACAAGAGAGCATGCTATACCCCTTCCTAGCTTTTCGTTGCTAACAAGAGTCAAGAAATATTGTAGAAGAATGTTCTAGCTTAGGTGAGATGGTAAGTTTAATCTTTGGTGCTAGGTTTAGAACAGGGTTGTAAGGAAAGTCGCTGAGAAGGCCCAAGCACACCAAAGTCCATATCAATCATTTGGAAACGCAACAATTCAATAGGAGCAACCCACCCATGTCCTAATGTCCCCCCAGTACTTATGGTAGTAATGGTCAAGTTAAATCAGCATCACCGCTAATATACAACATGATTGGCGCGAGGCAGGTACGCCACGACTTGAAAGGAGAATGCATTGTTTTGTCAAAGCGAATAAGCTAGCTAACTAGCTATGAGCATTTCACACCACAGCTTTACAGTATGAACAAAGATCGAGGGCGACAGGGTGCATATGAATCGAAGAGGAAAAGATGAAGAAAAGAACTCAACAAATGAGAGAGGAATCGACAGAGGAAAGGAACAGACCAAGTGTTTAGTATGGCAAAATGTGCCTCATTGCTGCCATGTTCACAGGTAGCAAGTGGTATCATAAGCAAGTTCAAAATGGAAAGTTATAATTGTTGGCCATAGAGGACAGCCAGACTATAGATGGTTATCTGTCTTGAACTTATCCCACGCCTCGTTTAATGTGGCAAAGACAGCTGCACTAATCATCTTCTGCTCAGTAGTCGCTGTTTGAGATATCTGTAGTGGAACGTGGTTAGCATTCTGCCCGTTTGTAAAACCTCTTCAAGTACGATGGTAGAAAAGTGAGAAAGGAGAAGTTAGAGGACATACCTTGTCAGGATGAACCTTGGCAATGGCCTTCATATAGATAATCTTGACCTTATTCGGCATGACCAGATCGCCCATGTTGACCTTCTTCCATCCAGCATCCTCCCAAAGCACTTTATCCAAACTACCCAGTAAAGCACGTAGGTTGTCGGACTTGGTGCCCTTCCAAGCGATGAGCTTGGCGTCGACTTGATCGGTCAGGGCGAACTTCTCGTCGTCTGCACGTTCAGCGGCAGCGTTGGCGGCTTTCATGCGCTTGACGGCCTCGGAGTCGATGGCTGGACCACCACCTAGGTCTGACATGGCGGAGGGTCTAGGAGCAGCGGGCTTACGGGCTGGAGGTGGGCGTTTGGTGGCTGCTGGCGCATTGTTGTTGCCGCCATTTGCGGCTTTCTCGCAGCGGTTTCGTCCAGAGATGGCGATGGCACCGCCTACACCATTTTGAACAGCCTCTTTCCATACACCGTGTGCATCTGCCCACTTCTCCATGTTCTCTAGTGCTTCTGCTTTTCGCATGAGGGCTTTACCGTAAAATTCCTTCATGTCTTTTTCGCCCTCCATTCCACCTGTAGCGATCTTTTCGCCTTCTCCTCTCGATATGCCGATTATAGCCAAGGCTGCATCGGCATCAGCAATTGCTGCTTTCGGGTCGCCAACTTTGATGTTAGTGACTGCGCGATTGCAGAGTACGACTATCGTGACAGGGTGTGTTTTTGGAAGAGGACTCAGTGCAGAAGAATAGGCAGCGTGTGCAGCGGAGTAGTCTCCACGCTTGAATGCCTCTGAACCTCTTTGCCGGTCAGCTGACGACGAACTGAGAGCCGAAGACGAGACAGGAGGGATCTGTCGCGGTGGTGCTTTCGGTCTGGATGCAATCGGTGTAGGCGCTGGACTTCGAGCCTTTGGTGCTGAAGTTGCTTGGAGAAACGGGTTGTTAGATTTTGCTGGTGTCGGTTGGCGTGAAGCCTGCTTTGGGGGCGTAGGTTCTGGAGAGAAGAGATCTACTTCTGGCTGCGGTTGTGGAGTGGTCTTCTTCCGGCGAGCAGGACTAACGTACGCCTGGGAGCTCTGTTCTTCAACCTCCTGGCGGGTCAGTCGCATCGCTGGTCGTTTATCCAAACTTGATGGTGGCTGCCGCTGTGATGGAGACTGAGACGACATGCGATCTGGGCGATCGTTTCGCCCAGTTTCCTGCTCTCTTCTTTGGCGTACAGGTAGCGGTTCGGCTTGCTGACGCATCTCGCTCGTCCGAGAAGGCTTAGTGGGTCGTCCACCAGCCTCCAGCATCATGGCCTCGTCTGTAGCCGATTGATCAGCCTTCTGTTGTCGACCTGAGCGAGGAGCAGCTTCCGCAGCCTGGGCATCTCTCATCCACTTTGGCATATTAGGATCGCCCTCTTGCTGAAAGTCGGCCATGGCTTTCTGTACTTGTTTGCGGCCCGTCTTCCATAGTGAATTCGCTGATTTAAAAAGATTGTTGCCAATCTCTGAAGCCATTTGAGTTACGTCTTTCTCTTGACCTTCTTGCCTACGTTGACCAGATCGACTCCGTGCTTCATCGTCTTGCATCCACGCGGGCCTAGAGCTACTCGCCCGCGGTTCTCTTGAAGATTCGCGTCCATTGGGTCTACTGTTTCCTCGCCTCGGACGCTCGTCGAACTCATCTGGCTCACGGCGGGATCTATCTTGACTCTGTGAATGTGTTTTCTGTTTCGCCTCTGCATGTGCCTGATTGAGCAGCCATCCCACAGCAGCTTGTACGTCCAGTCCAGACTCAGTAGTCGCTAGTGCAATCGCTGACCTTTCGGCCGGGAATCCCATATCTACTAGCTCAGCAACAGCTTTGTCATGTGCGTTTTCGGGCCCAGGTGAAGCCCGTCGGCGTGCTTGTGAAGACTCCTCTGCAGCGGCTGGCTGTAGCGCTTCTTTGTGCTGAAACTCGGAGACAGGCTTTCCTAACAAGCCTAGTATATCATCATCAGCGTCATTGGTTGGCGGCGGCGCAGGCGAAGTCGACTTTTGCGCCATCTGCTTGAGACCGAACATGTCATCATCGTCGTCCAGAAGCGCATTGTTACCAGGAGTAGGCTGTGGTAGGGGTGTGTTGCCCCGAGAGACATTCGCGCTGTAAGCAGGCGTGCTTCTGCCACTGCCTTGGTTTGGTTTGGGAAAGTGGCTTGAGCTGTCTACGGGAGCTGCCGAGTTGAATGCTGCAAGGAGGTCAGCCTCGCTGGGAGAAGATACCTCAGGCCGCCTCGAAGTGGTGTCCAGGCCTGCGAAAGGCTTGTTGATGGTCTTGGACAGGCCATGGTTGGTGAAGGGATTGTTCGACGGACGCGGGGCGCCAAATGCGGCCGGCTCTGGTGTGCTCTTCCCACTTCCTAACGTGTCCAAATGGCTTGAATCAGCACCCCCGAAAGTGGTATCCCATTGTCTCCTCTTCTCCGCTTCCTGTCGCGCCTTCTCCTCTTGTATCTGTTTCTGCCGCTCTTGTAGTGAGAGGTTGCTTGTCGGGGCTTTGGACTTGTTGGAAGACACGAGACTAGCGAAGCTGTCGTTTGCGGGAGTCGCTGCTTTCGAGGGCGGCTTGAACTGCTGAGTACCACCGGAGCCAGCTCCAGTGTCAGACGGTTGCGTAGAGAGCGTGGAAAGGGGCGTGGATCGACCGGACAGTTGAGGCGTGGGGCTCTGGCGGAAGGGTGGAAAGGCCGCGGGGGTGTTGGTCGTTGTCTTTTTGGCGGGCTGCGACCAGTCAAGGCCGGCTAGATCGTCCATTGTATTTGCTTTTGCTGTGTACGTCGTGTCAAAGAGTGTGCGGGAGAATTCATATCATTATTGCGAGTTGGGTTGTCAAACATCAGTATTGGGTGTATTGACCGCTTCACCATGTGTCTGTCGCGCTTGCGCTTGCTCGGTTCGCGCCACAGGTACCCGCCAGGCATAGCCACAACACGTGACACACATGCAGGGTCCAGGCCATGTCTCAAAAGTGTCTTTGGCATACTTCATCGGACGCCCAAATTGTGGTTTGGTCAGTCTACAGCATACCTACATGGCACCCGCAGTCAACGCCACCGAAATCTTAGAATACGTAAATACGTGAATACGGTGCGATAAGATTGTTCAAATCTCGAAAGCCTCACATGTTTTGCATAACATGGAAAGAAGGCTCTTCATTGTGACAGAGGCAAGTAGAGCCGACACATGTCGCATATAAAGTGCTACAGAGCCCCATCTTTGCAGCTCCCGCAGGCACAGACTACAGCTCGGCTTCGGAGCCATGTGCGTTCCTGGACCCCATGCTTGCATCGGTACCTTGCAACGCATTGGTGCGAGCAGTTCCTCCGAGCCGACAAACGTTCCGTATCGATTGCTGGGTAAACAGAAGGTAAACAACCGGTAAAGGATTGTGATTGCGGAGTCGGGCAACAGGCACGAATAGAGAGCGCATGCCCGGATCCACAGCTGTCAGGTTAAGATGCGGTCAGTGGGCTCTGTCGAACCGCGACCGCGGAGATGGTGGCAGTAGCACGTCCTGGCGCGAGCGGACTGTCCCGACTACGCGACCCCCCTGAGGGTCAACGCAAAGCTTTGCAAGGCTTTCTCTCTTCCGCATCGAATCAAGATGGATTGGATCCGTGGTGTCACATCTGACTCGGGCCGAAGGGATGCCTTCATCCATTACTCGTAGGCGGCACGGTAACCGAAGCCGCGAGCCCTTAGTGTCGCTGGGTGTGAAGTAATGGGCCTGTTTTCGGCAGTTGTGCAGAAGGTTGGAAGTAATGGAAAATATTTTTATCAGATTGCGCGTGCAAGGTGTCTTATTAGGCTGATGATAACAGCCAGCTCGTGCCTGGGCGGGAGGGCAGTCGATACTCTCGGCGCTCAGGCAACATGGCGGATTTGCCGAGCCGCGAACCCGCGGCCACGGTATCAGACTTGACCACCCGCCAATCCCCGACGTAAGCGATAGGTAGATGACTCAGGTTGTGGGCTTTGGGCATAGCATTAGTAAAGGGTCCATGTCAGGAGAAGCTATGTGCAAGAATCTAGGTTTGGACGAGTGTGGATAGCGATGCTGATCTTGCAGACAGCAGAGACGACGGAGAAGGGCGTCGTGGGAGAATAGCATAACTGGTAATGAGGTTGCATTTGGTGTATGCACGCTGCCTGCTAGCCTGAAGACGGTCAAGACCGATACCTGGTAGAAATACTATGGGCCTAACCACAAGGGGGATGTGGTGCGTGCCGCAGAGGTCGCAGCTGGAGCGAACGGTTCATAGGTCAGGTACAGAGGCAGCAGCTATGCCTTGAATGGAAGAAACCGCGACCTCGCATCAATAGACGCGACGAGCAGTCGGGACCCTGCAGGGTGGACAGGTGTCGGGAGCGCGTCGAGAAAGGCGCGGGTGTGGGTAGGATATACGTCAGTCGGGCCTCCAGCTGAATTGCTGTTCAGGAACGGAACAGAACAGGACGACGCTCCAAGGGTTTATTGCTGCGCTACTAGCGTCGTCTATCGTGCCGCCCATTGACGCGGAAGAGCAAGGGGCAGACGGTCGGCGAGACTATGGTTGCCAGGGTGGAGACGACTGTAGTATACAACTGGAGGCGGCGCGTCTGGACTTGCTCCTGCGTCTCTCGCAGCTTTGTCCTCGATTCCTCCTGCAGCTGATTTGCAATTGATGAGTGCGCGGGTGGTGACTACGCATAGTGTCTACACAAGGTTTCTCCATCGGCACGTGTCGACTCCCTTGCTCCACCAGCGCAGTCGCTTCCGGATTATTTGTCCAGGGATCTCCCGGTAACGGTTCCGCACTGCCAGCAAGCGCGGGCCTCTGGACAGAACGATCGCCGCATTCTCGAGCAACCTCGCCCGACTTGAACGTGCCTTCCTACTTCCCAGCAAACCTCACCACCAAGGCTCCTCTCGCCAGCAAACCTCGCCCTCTGTCGCCGCTGCCTCCAATGCGTCTCTTCAATCGCAAGGGCTCCAAGCCCCAGGTTTCCCCCAACGGCAGCCAGCCAAACAGCTCCAATGGCTCCCTGCGCTCCCCTGGACCCACTCCAAACGGCTCCCGGCCTACCAGCTTCCCAGACGTCCCTCTGCCAAAGGCCCCAGATCCAACTCTCGACCCGGCCGGCTACCTGCGCAGCATCTACGCCGTCCGCGAGCGCTCCAAGCTGGTGCTCGAAAAGGCCAAGAAAAATCAGCTCAAGCACTTCACAGTCGACATGAGCAAGTTTGGAGATGTCGCTAGCTTTGTCGTATCCATAATTAAGGTAAGCCTCATTCTGCGAGCGCAAGGATACCATGTTGGCCGACAGCGCGCTCTAACACTGCCTGCAGCGCGACTATGCGCCTGACTACGCCTCAATTCCGCCTCACGGCCGCTGGCAGCACTTTGATGTTGGTGGCCGCCCGCGCATCGATCAGCTCATGGCAACATGGCCGTCGACCGTCGACAACCAGGAGCGCACTCGCCGCCTCATAGATCTCTTCCTCGTCTCCGTCCTCCTCGATGCAGGTGCAGGCACCAAGTGGCAGTACAAGAGCAAGGAGTCGGGCAAGATCTACCGCCGTAGCGAGGGTCTCGCCGTCGCCAGTCTGGAGATGTTCAAGGCCGGCGCTTTCAGCAGCGATCCCAAAGAACCCTACCAGGTCGACAGTGCGGGGCTGAAGAAGCTCGACGTCGCAACAGTGGCGCGTGGCCTGCAGGTCAACGCCACAAACCCAATCGATGGCCTCGAGGGTCGCACTGGCCTGCTGCTGCGTCTCGCAGAAGCGCTCCAGAACCAAGAAGTTTTTGGCCTCGAAGCACGACCAGGAAACATGCTCGGTATGCATGGCCATCAAGTCTCGTGATTTTGGCTAACAAGGTCAGATTACCTTCTCTCGCACCCAACCACGCAAGCATCATCAGTCCCCATCATACCCCTCCCAACTCTTTGGAATACCCTCATGGACAGTTTGACCCCCATCTGGCCAGCCACAAGGACTCAAATCGACGGTGTACCCATGGGCGACGCATGGCCTTGCTCAGTCATGCCATCACACCCGACTCATCCGTGGGAAAACATTGTGCCTTTCCACAAACTAACCCAATGGATGACTTACTCACTAATGGTCCCCATGACCAAGCTCCTCCATGTTCATTTCCCTGGCGCAGAACTCCTTACCGGGCTGCCAGAATACAGAAACGGTGGACTGTTCATCGACGTCGGCCTCTTGACACTGAAGCCTGAGGATCAGAAACGCGGTCTCGCGCAATACCAACGCAATGCACAGGCAACAGGCCAACCGAGCATGGAAGTTGTACCAATGTTTACCGCCGACGACGATGTAGTGGTCGAATGGCGCGCAGTCACAGTCGGACTACTCGACGATCTATTAGTCGACGTAAACAACCTACTGGGTCTGAGCGGGTCAGATAAGCTGAACCTGGCGCAGATGCTCGAAGCTGGTAGTTGGAAGGTAAGCTTGACGCCACTCAAATGTTCTTCTGGATGAAACTGACTCGCAACACTAGGGAGGTCGAGAGATTGCTGAAGTGTCGCGGCCCAACACTAAAGAGCCGCCAATCATGATCCTCTCGGACGGCACTGTTTTCTAAGATACCCCTTTCTTCGTTATTCCGCACTTCCTTCGCTTCCTTCACATACAGACATCGTGCAGCGGAAGCACGTATCCGATACCCACGAGGGTGCCCTTGCCCATGCCGCACCAGTACCTTCTAATTATGGCCAAGTGGGTGGGATTTATGATACACGATCTTGACGGTCGCATTTGGTGGCACGGCTTCTTGTTTATACCTTCTGCTTCGTCGCACCAGCCACATTTATGTCCTATTTATCTCCAAAGCGCTGGCAGTCTAAGCTATCCATTTCCTATGTTGTAATAATTCCTCACTTACCATGACTTTTGGAATCTTCGACCATGTAGCTATGTACCAAAGCCTTTTGAATGAGAGTGTGTGCCTCCCAACCACGACAGTTTCCCAAGTAGATGGCGATGACGAGTGAAAGACTAACACGCGCGTACCCGTTACGAGACTGCCAAAAGCAAGGATGGCAATCGCATTCGCGCGTGATGGGAATGCGGAGCGCGGAAGTGCCCCACTGCCAAGCAAAGATTGGTGCAGGGCCCCAAATATCGCGCGCCAAAGCCAAAGCTCCGAAGCAGGTGTTTACAGTACGTCATCCCATCGCCAAATTCCACCTGACGGCTCGGTATTACTATCAGTTTACCACTCCGCTTTCGCTACCGACTCGAAATCTACCGTCAGGCTACTTGCGCACAACCCGCCTCTTCACAGCTCTCACGTAGCTCCTCTCTACTGTCGGTCAAGGCTATCGCGATGAACTCGATCAAGCGGCAGAAACAGCGCAAGGTGCTGCTGATGGGCAAGAGCGGGGCTGGCAAGTCGTCGATGAGAAGCATCGTGTTTAGCAACTATGTCGCCAAAGACGTCCGTAGGCTGGGCGCGACAATCGACGTCGAGCACAGCAATATCAAGTTCATGGGAAACCTGATGCTCAATCTCTGGGACTGTGGAGGGTGAGCCCACCATACGTGAGACGACAAGATGACTCGAACTAACTCTCCGCAGTCAAGACGGCTTCGTCGAGAACTATCTCAACCAATCTAGGAACCACGTCTTCGGCTCCGTCGCTGTCCTCATCTTCGTCTTCGACATCGAATCACGCGAATTCGCAGCCGATGTCGTCTCTTACTCCAACATCATACGTGCCCTTCATGAGTGCAGTCCCGGCGCCAAGGTCTTCTGCCTCATACACAAGATGGATCTTGTGCAAGCCCGCCTTCGCCAAGCCATGTTCGACGAACGCGCCGAGTACATCCGCGAGGCTAGTGAAGGCTTCAAAGACACTGTCGAGTTCTTTGCGACCAGTATCTGGGATCAGAGCTTATACAAGGCTTGGACGAAGATCATCTACTATCTGATCCCCAACGCGGGCACCATCGAGGCGCTGCTGGAACAGCTGGCAGAGGTCATCGATGCGAGAGAACTCATTCTGTATGAGCGGACGACATGTCTCACTGTTGCCCATGTCACAAGACAGACCGAAGAATCAAATCCCTTCACAGATCGTTTCGAGCGCATTTCAAGCATCCTCAAGACACACAAGCAGAGCATGGCGTACGTACAAATTCCTTACACTCATCTCACCTGTGAGAACCCCAGACTAACCAGCCGCTTCCCATAGAAAACACACAAATATCCCCGCCGGTAGCGCAAACTTTGCAGAAATGCAAATCAAAACCGGTCGCTTCATGTTCTTCATCACACGCCTGACCGAAAACACAAATCTCGCAGTCGCCATCCCACCTTCCGAACAAGTATTCAACGCTGCCCGTGTGAACATCTTCCAGGTGCGACCCAAGTTTGCCGAACTCGATATCGCAGCGAAACCAAGACCTCCTATCCAGCAGGCCTTCGCCGGGAGTGCTGACACAAGCGATAGTACAGACAAAGGGAAGCAGAAGGAGGTAGGATATGCCTCCGGAGTTTAGACGACGCCTGGGCACAAGAAAGATAATGACGAGGTTAAAAAACTGAAAGACAGCTTTACACCGAGCTTGGAAGATGCAGACGAGAGACACGATGAGGAAACATTGGATCAGATCATCAAGGCGAAGACATTCTTGCAGACTTATCACAGTCCTGGTCCGTTGGGGAACATGGGAATGGATTCAGCACTTGGAAAAGAAAGGACCGAGCCAGGTACTCCGCAGTCGGACGAGCAATCTGTAACAGCAGGGGTTGGGCTCAGTAACTCATCATTGGAGATGCAGCCTGCAAGTTCGTCTCTCGGCCCCGCTCCTCAGCAGGCGCACGATAGAGATTCAGCAACGTTTCCTACAGAGACGTGAAGCTCAACGCTGGGACGGGCGCACAAGCTGAGGCTGAACCAACTAGTACAAACTCTGACTAGGGATATTGTGCTAGTAGATATAGCCCGCATCGCGACCGGCTACGAAGACGCGCTGAAATACCAATTCTTAAGAGCTTCATCCATTCACATATATCTTCGTCCAAAAAAAAAAAGCTCACACTGGTCCCTGTCATATACATGATCCTAATAGGCACACCGCATACGATGCTTTGCATTGGAAGCGCTTACACAGGCGTCTCAAACGACTAGATAGCTCGATTTATACTAGCTCACTAGAGCGATCACGCGCAAGTCTCGATCTTTGTTGCCTTGCTGACAACCCATGCCGCAGATCCAAGAAATACACAAGAACGCACTCCAAGGCAGAACGGTTGGCGCACATGCAAGGATTGGGTCGAGCCAAGCGAGAATGCGGGGAAACAACCTTCTCTTCGTCTCGTCTTGATCACGCAAAGCCTCCGATGAAGTGGAGATGTTAAGACGGCTTCGCTTTCTTGATTAAACTTTGGAATCATCGGCGCCAGAAAAGAGACCGTATGTTGTACTAGTACAGAATTTCACATGCGATAGAACACGGCCGCAGTACGCACCGGTCAAAAGCATTTGCTGGGTGGGCTGATCGCTCATCTACCAGGCTTTCGGAATCTGCTCGACGTGCATGCATATGCCATGAGTGTTGTGTTGCATTGCACCATCCCGTCATGTCAGATCCTTCTTATCGCTCCAGCTGGAGCGTGATGCGCAGCTTGGCCGTTATACCAAGAACGATCTGCTGAGAAAAGCCAAGCCAGACACGTAATATATGGCTTGTTTGCGAAAGAGATGGTGTATAGTTGTGTACAAGGCATGCTGCGACTGTGCCTGTGGTGCTTCGCCTTTTCTTCGGCCTGAGAGGTATTGAAATCTACAAATTCTATTATTGTTGTTATCACTACTACGCTAGCTGGTCTAGAGGCCACGATGCTCAACAATGACAGTTGGCTTGAACAAGCGCCGAAGATGCGCCTGATTATTTTATCCGGATTCCTCACGGATCGCAACATCGGCATCAGCCTCGCATCGCTGGCTTCACCACCTCAAGAAATCCAAGGCGTGAAACAATGGTCAAAGCTAGGCCAAGCCACCACCCAAGAAAGAGGTCTTACCATGCTGCAGCCACCGAAGTCGCCCAACATTGAGCTTTGATGCGGTGATTATTGGCCCTGGTCTACCGCTTCATAGCGCTATTGGCTGGCTACCATGTACCGCGTGATCGTCTTGAGCGGTTTTGTGTATGAATGGTATGAGCTGCATGGATGAGCAATGGTATTGGCATCAACCCAAGACGGGGAAACTCCAGCTCTTGGAATCGATGGAGGCAAGCCCTGGCAACATGGGAATATAAGCATGCGATGTCGCTTGAGGTTCTTGCTAGAGTTGTTTTCAATCTCTTCATCCATATTCCTGTCTCTTGCTAGAGGCTTGTGAAGTGATCTTCGCCTAGCCTTGGGGAACCCAGGCTTAGACATCAAGCTCTATTGTACACGTCTAGTTTCCTGTCTTGGCCATGTCGGAGCCTGACAAGGAGATCAAGATCGAGTAAGCTACCATGTCTTATAGTGCAATGAGATAGGACGTAATGTACAATTCGAAATGTACTGACAATGTTTGTTTCAGACCAGCGGTAGTGGATGAGCACCACGAGCGCAAAGCCTCCATCTTCGATGATGAGCAGAAGCGTAAAGAGAGCGTCGCTCGTCTCACTGCTAATTTCGAGGGAGAGTAAGTGTTACCATAACGAACTGCCTGATCGCTATTCATCTGAACACCCTATACTGACAAGTCCAGAATCAAAAACCCACTCGTTGACATTTCGCGCGAGCAACTTATAGCCAACGTCCACGACTTCGCCACAGAACACCAATTGACTGACGTCGAACCGCTCCTTGTCAAAGGCGCCCTTCTTGCGCAGTCGCCCGCCCTCTTCGAGGAACTCGAAGAACTAGACGAAGCAGACCGTACGGCTGTCCGTGAGGAGATTACGCATCGATTCAAGTTACCGCGGACACTCTACTTTACCATCATCCTCAACTCCATCGCAGCTGCTATCCAGGGCTGGGACCAAACGGGATCTAATGGGGCTAATTTGACTTTTGGTCAGGCCTTGGGCATCCCAGATTCTGGCTCTGTGTGTGAGGCGGCGGGAACGTGTGAGAAGAATGGATGGATTATTGGGTTCGTAAATGCTTGTCCTTATATAGCTATTGCTGGTATGTATAGGAATTTTGACATGCTTGTTTGGCATACACTGACTTTGCATTTTCACTCCTGCAGTTTTCTGTGCCTGGATCTCTGGTAAGTTGCCGTCGCATTTCTACCTTCTCTTGCTGATGTATGTAGATCCGGTGAACGAACTCTGCGGCAGGCGTGGTACCATCTTCATCGCTGCCATCTTCTCACTTTTGGCACCCTTCGGTATGGGTCTGAGCCAGACGTGGGGTCAGCTTGCTGTGTGTCGCGTACTCCTTGGAGTCGGTATGGGACTCAAGGAAGTTACTGTGCCTGTTTTCTCGGCGGAAAACGTACCAGCTAGTGTGCGTGGTGGACTCGTCATGTCGTGGCAGATATGGTGAGAAATGTCCCTGCACCAACTGCATGTGAGACATACACTGACTTCGCACACGCACAACAGGACAGCCTTCGGAATCTTCCTAGGGACGGTCGCTAATCTAGCTGTTATGGTGAGTAATTGTAAGTCTACGTGTTGCGGTTACTGATGGAATATAGAATACTGGGGCAATTTCCTGGCGTCTGCAGTTTGGATCTGCTTTTATCCCTGCTGTACCTCTCTGCATTGGCATTTGGTTCGTACCCGAAAGTCCTCGGTGGCTCATGAAAAAGCGCAAATACGCCAAAGCGTATCGCTCCTTCCTCCGACTACGGAATACTCCTCTACAAGCTGCACGTGACCTCTACTACACCCACTGCTTGTTGGAGCAGGAAGAGGTCTTGATCCGTGAAGCTGGGATTAACCCCAAATCAAATTTCTTCACACGCTTCGTAGAGTTGTTCACTATTCCGCGCGTTCGTCGAGCGACGCAAGCTTCTGGTATTGTTATGATAGGGCAGCAGGTAAGCAAGTGGAGAAGAGCTTATACCAGAGATGGTAGCTGACAAAGATAGATGTGCGGTATCAACATCATCGCATTCTACAGCTCAACGATCTTCGCAGAGGGAGGAGCCACGAACAAGGAAGCTCTCATTGCGTCGTTTGGCTTCGGTCTTGTCAACTTCACTTTCGCGTGGCCTGCTGTCTGGACAATCGATACTTTCGGTCGCCGCGGACTGCTCCTGTTCACGTTTCCGAATATGTTCTGGACACTTCTCGTAGCTGGGATGTGCTACTACATCCCCAAGGATAGTGACGCGCATCTGGGTTTGATCGCCTTCTTCGTGTATCTCTTTGGTGCCTTCTACTCTCCTGGAATGGGACCAGTACCTTTCACATACTCAGCCGAGGTATTCCCGCTCTCCCATCGTGAAGTGGGGATGTCGTGGGCTGTGGCTACGAACAACTTCTGGGTACGTAACGAGGATTTACGAACTGCATGGTAGGACCCATACTGATTTGGTACACCAAAATCTAGGCAGCGGTCCTGTCGCTTACACTTCCTCGTATGCTCAAAGTTATGAAGCCTCAGGGAGTATTCGGCTTCTACGCCGGTATGAACGTTGTCGCTCTCATCATGATGTGAGTCGATATCCAACCCATTTTGCAAAACAGAGTACATCTGACAGACGACCAGCTTCTTGTGGTTACCTGAGACTAAACAACGAACACTCGAAGAGCTCGACTATGTCTTTGGTGTTCCCACGCGCACGCACATGAAATACCAGGCCGGTCAGAATCTACCTTGGTGGTTCAAGACGTACGTCCTCCGGCAAAAGGGTCTCTCCAAGCCTCAGCTGTATAAATTTGGCGATCAACGACCCCCTGTGAGCGTGACGGCGCAGATGAGCTACGCTTGGAATACGTACATTCTTCGCAAGAAGGGTCTGGCTAAGCCAGATGCCTATGTCAAGGCGTCGCCTCGCGGCGAGAAGCAGGTGTAGGTGGCTGTTGCTTAGAAGGTAGTGAGGGCTTTCGTAGGCTGGCGGTCGTGGTGGCATCAGATCTTGTCGTTCGTTAGTTTGATACCCTCGTGCTGGTTGTGGTCAGCGTTGTAGTTTGTCCCTGATACAACAATACACAAAGGAGTGAAGTGGAGGGTGTCGTCGGTATCCCCACTACTGAAAACACGCCAATCGTCATGCAGCCCCACAAAAACGCGCTGCTCAAGCGCGCCTGGATACTAGTGTCATCTGCTGTGACTTTCACATGCACTTGAGAAGCATGCAAACGGGTATCCGGGATGCGACGGCAAACGTCAAGGGCTGCCCTGACAGCGACTGCCTCGGCAGCTTGCCTCGACATGCAGGGAGCTAGCCACCAGCCAATGCACTGTACCCCCCAGCTCAGCCATGGCAGCAGTCGCCGTGAGGATGGGCCGATAGTCAGTAATCGTATAGCGCCAGGATCGCGAGACTCTGCGGATACACCTTCTTTCTTTTCTGTCCTTTGATTGAAGCTGACGATACCTTACCCCTTGGCTTTGTCGCCGGATCCGCTTCTCTCCGCCATCTTCCCCGCATCTCAGGCACGCCCTTATACAGCCTCTGCGCCGCCGCCGCCTCGCCAACACTTTCCCGTCCTTGTCGCAACATAGCACCGAGATTGCCTCAAGATTGTCCAAGATGCCAGTCTTTGATCTGAAGAAGAACCTCGTCTTCGTAATGGCACCCGTGCAGCCCTCAAAAGATGCGCATCAGCTAATGCGAAAGAGCAGTATGGCGCATATCACCGCGAGCCAACAAACGTCGCCATCCACATAGCATGCGTGCCTGTCCTGCTTGCGACAGGCATTCTCTTCGTACGTTGCCTAGTCTTCCTTCGCTGACCACTACTCACCCCTCAGGGCACAAACACACCCACCCTCCCCATCCGCCAACACCCCCTCCTAACCCGCCTCAACCTCCCCTTGAACCTAGGCACCATCGCTGCAGCTACCTACTCAGCTCTCTACCTCCTTCTCTCTCCCAACCTCGCTGGCGTGACCGTCACCCCCATAATCCTCGCCTTCGCATCCCTCTCCAACCGCCTCACGCAGCGTTACAACAAGACCAAAGTCAACAGTATTGCCGTCGCCGTCCACGTCGTAAGCTGGATACTGCAATTCGTTGGACATGGCAAGTTTGAAGGGCGCAAACCCGCACTGCTAGACAATTTGGTCCAGGCCCTGTTCCTGGCGCCCTTGTTCGTGTGGTATGAAGTGCTGTTCAAGATGGGCTTCTACAAAGGGTTGAAGAGGGAGGTAGAGCTTGGTGTTGAGGCCGAGATTGCAAAGTTGAAGGCGAAAAAGGCGGACAAGGGTAAGGGGATCGCACTCGACGATTCTGCGGACGCTATGGATGATGTTGTGGACGCTGTCCTTGATGAGGAAAAAGAGGGTAGTGATGAAATTTAGATGTGTGATGTGAACCCATGGTTCTGAGATACTTAGAGGATACCAAGAGAGTGCCAAATTATCGCATAACATACCAATCTTCTTCATCAGTCCCTTCGTCTTTTGGCCATACGCCAAGTGCTGTATATTTCTTGATACAAACACATACTATGCCACAGCCTCAGTCTGCCCAGTGTCTCATACGCTCGCTCGCCTAGCTTCATTCACTCAAAAGCTATCTTGAGAATGCTCTCGCGCTTCAGGACAGCAATAAGATCCTGTAGTGAAGATAATCAGCACATGTCATGTTCAGAAACACGTTAGTCTGTACCCAACTGGAAGAGAACCTTACCTTGAAAGGATCCTCATCTGACTCATCCACAGACGGCATCGTGATTTCTTGGGCTACCTCTTGTACATTGCTTGCACATATGAGGATTGCTCCTCCTCCTCCTGCTCCTCCTCCTCCTCCTCCTCCTCCTCCTCCTCCTCCTCCTTCTTCTTCTTCTTCTTCTTCTTCTTCTTCTTCTTCTTCTTTCTCGTCGACTTCGATCTTGAACTTTCCTAGCTCAAAGGCGCGCTTTGCCGTATTATAGTTGACAAATAGGCGGAAGCGGTGATCGCCGACCTCGGGCCAGTATGTGAATGAGAAAGAAGTGGACTTCACGAAGCTGAAGACATGATCTCGAGCTGCGTTGAGGGAAGGGAATTTCGTCGGCCAGGGGGACACAAGCACAAGAAGGCGTTGTACGTCGAACTCGATGGCTTCTATGTTGGCACATCAGTATAGTTCAGAGGGTTCGACGGTAGATCGACCTACTCTTCATTGTGCCAAACCTTTCAATTGGCGCTTTTGACGTAGTAGCAGCCTTTTGGAGTTTGCGCTGTGGTTGCCGCCATCCTTTACCGGGTATATTCATGTCAAACCTGCCTGCTTCGAAAGCATGCCTGGCCGTATTGAAGTTGACATAGGCTCGGAACTTCTTCTCTTCCACACCTTCGAATTGCTCATACACGAACCGGGACCATCGTGCAACCCTGTCGACGTGAAGAACGGCATGCTGCACACTGAGGAAGCTTGACGGCCAATAAGGCACTAAGGGGAGCAGGCGTTTAATGTCGGCTTCGACGGCGGCTAGACCATGTACGTGTCGGTATCAGAAAACAAGGAGAGGACCAGGCATACATACTCCTTAAAGCTCTTGGATCAGCTAACTCGACCTTTAGATAGAACTCCCCCTGCCCGAAAGCTTTGGCAGCTACTATGAAGCAGGCCCTATCTTTCACATACTCCATTTCGTCCTCTGTCATGTGCTTGCTAGTTATGTACTTGAGGTCAGCTTTCTCGCAGGCAGCATCAACATATGCTTTTGCTTCCTCGATATCGTAGAAGTGTGTGGGATAGGTGTGGATAATAGCTTCTGCTTTGGCGGCGGCTAAGAAGACGACCCCTGGGAGTATTAATGGAACACTTTTTGTACGTGTGAGAAGGAGCGTTGGAACCTCTGAGATGCTCGTTCTTCGGCATGGTGAGGTTTTTGCACGTTTTGGTTTGGTGTTGTCTTGTGAACGGCAGGTTGAAGTGCGAGCTGCAACAGATTCAGGTGTTGATGAGAAAGATTAGAAGGACCACGAGATTGTTGAAGTATGATGCATTCTGATTTCAAACGACTCCGATCTTACAAACGCGCGCGTAGCTCAGCCCAAGGTACCAAGACGGATATGTTGCGCAGCCATTTGCCCCAACGAGCGAAGGCTTCCGATACAAACAGACAAGTCGAAAGCCCACTGACGTCCCGCAACTCCGGTGCCAATTAGACTCCTCGTGAACGACGTATCTGAGTCCCAGCCAAGACTGCTCTGCATATGTACATTTGCGAGGCCATGCATGTACAACAATGCACCCCCAGCTGCGTGCTCCATCAAGATATTGTAACGAAAACTTTTGTAGTAGTACAATTTAGGCATCTCTCATATCTGCCTTTACTCCTCTTCGTCACTCTCGTCATCGTCCATCTTATACAAGAAGTACTGTACAAACACACCAGCATCCAACAACAACGTGCCAAAGCTGCCCAATAACCAGCTCATGTTGACCGCAATGTACTTGCCGTACTCAGCACGTCCCTCTCCACCCTGGCAGACATGACCCCCACACTTGGGCTTGTAGACCAGGATGCTCAACACATATGTCAAGTTACCTAAGCAAGCAAACAGGAAGAATAGCATGCTGATGCCCTCGGTAGACTTGCGGCGGTAGTTAAGCAGGAGCTGTGGGACACGAGAGCCAAGGTAGAGTGCGGCGCAAACGTAGCCGGAGATCTGGCCCCAAAGGTTGAAGTGCAGTGTTGATTCGGGTGACGAGTCCTGGTCATCTGGCTGATTGGGAGCGGTGGAGTTCCGGGCACTGAGATACCAACCGAAGACTCCGGCCGCACATACAAGAACGATGGTACCAAGGTTGAAGATGATTGTTTGCAGGCTGGACTGGGCCGGCTGAGGTTTGGCTGCGACCGCGCCATTCTGGTGTGCAATAGTAGAGTCATCGTGGAGCGGTGTGACAGGCGAAAGGTGCGTGCCGTCAATAGAGAGGTATCGTTCGCGGAATGAGCCTTGTGAGTGGCTTGAGCCGCGTCTGTCGATGTCTGATATGCGCGGTCTCTGTACCTCGATCCCATTGCCGTTGCCGTTTGTATAGGGTGAGCCACTTGACTGCGGCCTACGGTGGGGAAGAAGCGGTGACTGCTCGCTAGCTTCACTATCCTCATCGGATTCATCCATCGGTTTCTTAAAATCATCGCGCAACGTAAAGCCCTTGTAGTAGAAGCACTGCAGCAATAGCACGATGTCGGCTAGCGTATAGTATACCGCCAAGATGGTCATCGTTGGCAGCACACCCTGCAGTACTGCACCTATGATGTTGAAGAAGTCCCCGAGAAGCCATATCACAATAAAGACTACCGAAAGGCCCTCTGCTGAGCTTCTCTTCCAGTTCTCAATTATCTGAGGTGAAAAAACCACTGTATACGGGTCAGCTCCGGCTTGCCGAGGTAACAATCATGTCAAAACAATACGGCGCAAGCGCGTCGCACAACGTATAGCTGTGCAGGAAGACGGAAAGTACATACCTATCCAGCATGCGATGCTGATGGAGCCAAATATCTGGCTGATGGCATCAATGTCCAATCGCAAGCCCTGCGATGGAGGAAACATCTTCGCTATGACGTAACACACCTATTCCCTAGCTCTTTCTCAGTCGCAAAAGCTCGCGGGTAACTCCAGAGACCCAAAGAAGCTACTTTAAAACACTTGCGATAGTGTTATTGATGAGAGCCAGCTACAAGCTTGCAGCTCCCTTCCCTGACGATGGGTTCCGGTGCGAATGTGCGGGAGCTGAACAAAGAAAGGCTGGCTATAGCTTCTCAGGTATGCAAGCGGCTCCGGGCCCAGCCACGTACGTATATAAAGGATGTTTGTCGAAGGAGGTTGGAGAAGGTGTTTGCTGAGTGGTCTCAGATGAAAGCAACGAATATGAGATGGAATCTAGAACACAATTGCTTGGATGACTGACATGTGGAAAATCTCGGGTGAGTACGTAATCTGGGGTTACAGGGATCAGCTTCTGCAGGAACCAGAACACGAGCAAGAGCCGCAGGATTTAAGCGAGCTGCGAACGTGCGCCGCACGCGATGATCTAAGCAGTGCCATGCTTCGATAATATCTTTTCCACAATTATGATCGTTAAGCCTTTATATGTCTATTCTGATATTGAGATAGCTTTGTATGGTTAAGATGCATTCCATCCAACTAACCAGTTCCCTCCCAGAATGCAGCCGCGCCCGCAAGATCATCAACGTTCAACAGGTCGACACCCTCGTCCCAAAGAATCCGCCATACCGCGTTCCTCGTGCCAATAGGATAGTCTGGCTGATTCCAGTACCTAGCCATGATTCCCTTCTCATGGGCCATGTCAAGTTGGCCCCTCAGAGTCTCTAGCTGCGTATCGTTGAACTCACGCTTACGCACTTCACCAAAGGATGATGCAAAATTGGTAGATGCAATCGGCGACTCGTTGGCTGTGAGATCTTGGTACTTGGAATCGTTGAGCTCCGCAAGTGGCGCATCAAAGAATACGTCACGCGGAGACGATGCGAGGACGTCAGAAAGTTGGGTGTTTCCAGTTCCAATGACGGTGACGGGGTTCTTGCGCAGAGTCGTGCCATCGTAGGTAGTCAGCCAGTCGCCGCTTCGCAGAGGTTCCAAGGCTTCGAGAACAGCAGGCCAGGTCTCGTCAGCAGCAGTCTTCAGGTCAATAAAGAAGTAAAGAGTCTGTCCGCTGGAGGTGTCGAATACGCCATTCTGCTCGCCAGGCTGCACAAATCGAGTGCTTGGGTTTTGGCGATGCAGAGTGTCAAGGATGGGCTCCAGATATAGAGACTGGAGAGTGCGCTTGTCGGTCAAGGCAGCGGGTTCATGACCGACCTTCAACGAATGAGCCGAGATTTCAACTGGATGCTATCGCAACGTATAAGGATCGAAATTACTTACATATAGTGTGCCGTTTAGTAGCCACACATCGGCTTCTGTTGATATGGCACCTTGACTTAATCCTGAGTAGAAGGGAACATCACGCCAGTAGTCGTTGTGGCTATGAAACGGCTTCGGGATTATCTCCCTGGTAAAATCGGTTGGATATGTGTATTTTTCACTCTTGTCGGTGTTTTCAAGAATGTTCTTCAGTGGCGTCTGCTGTCCGTATGGTGCTGCGCTGCAGAGCGCGGCGAGACTAGCGGTAAGAGAGAAGGAACGCATAGTGACAGCGACGCGACACAAACAACGTAGGGCGCGCAGACAATACAAATGAACAATGCGGATGCTTTGTAGGATAAAGCGCAAGACCTTGAAAGCGATTGATGGGGACCAGCCGGTGGTTGATGAATGTTTGGATTGAAGCTTGTCAACGATGTCACAGGTGGAGATACCCGTGAACATCCGGCCAATCCGGACAAGTCACTCGGCCCGTGCCTGTATGACTTGCTTCTGGAGGTTCCCTCGCATGGCGACACGTGCGGAGAGAAGAATGATACCTGCCTTTTTCTCTTCTCGTGAGCCTTCATTAGGGGCAAGATGTCGAAGTTTTGCGATATCGGCTTGGTTGCTATGTGGCTGAAGCTCTTGTTGGGCATCACGCACTAGCCTGTTTTCTGGGAGCTGCTGCTTGTAGCATCGCTGGGATACCACCTGCGTTTCGCAGTCAGTGTCAATGCTACTTGGGTTGATTCTGTGTTTGCTACAGCTCGTTGAATGCCCAAGATATTAGTGATAGACACGTTGGCAAAAACGTTGCGTAGTCGTCCATGGACACCTAGGTAGGTCCAAGGGTCGTGCTGGAAGTGGAAACACGTTCGTGCATGCAAGGAAGAATCATGTGCATGACAGGCGCAAGCATTCTCTCTTGTTATCCTAGTCGAATGTTCTAATACGATATGGACTTGTATTAGAGTCTTTGAAGATTTGGTCGTGCAGTGCAAAACGCGATGTATTTGGCTGACAACACAAGCAGCGGAATGGGAGGCTCTCTGACAGGTTACCTACTACGCGCTCTTTTGTAGTAAACAAGAGTAGTACACAGCTGTTTACAAATACATCCTCATGATGTGAATCTTACTCGCATGCCCCTGGACCCACACTCCATTACCACAACTTGAAGTCCATTCGGTCCTTCAACCCTACCCGTATCTTCCTTCCAAGATCCAAGCTTCACACCATCCATTCCCCTGGTCCTCGTCGGAGTTATAGCGGCTTTTCTTTCCGTGTCACGGGTCCTTGGAAGAGATCCTGCACGATGTTAGTGCATTTTATAGAACGAGGGTCTTCGGTGGGGTCCACAGACGTGATTGGGCGGATGCGAGAGCCGTTTCAGATGCATCAGCCGCTGCAACCACGGTGAACTGTAGCCAAGTGAATGTGGTAGATCTTGTCGGCGTCTGCACCTACAGACCGCGCTACAAAAGTAACGAACGTCGTGGCTGGTATAGTAAAGGCGGTAGTCGGTGTGATTGAATCGTAGGTGCTGCCTAGGTACGTAAAGTTGCGCCGAGCAACAGTCCACGCGTCGAAATGGCTGCGGACGCGGCACGGATGAAAACAGGTTTGATCCATAGTACCTAGGTAGCCATCAACACCCAAACATTTGCCATATCATTAGTTAAGTTAATAGGATGCGGACAGATGTTGAACATTCACACGGGTGGAACAACTGAGTATGGTGATGATGATCTCCTGATAGAGAAGTTGGATTGATTGAGATAAGCAGGATGTCGCTAGATCCATCCAACACCGTATCGTGCATGCCATTGGCGAAAGCCAGATGTAAATTCCCAAACGCCACGCCTCCCGCTCTCATAGACAAAGAAATAGATCGTAATATGATCTCTGACAATGCATCGCTAATACAGATAGCGTCGCAGACGCTCGAATAGATAGTTGTGTATGACAATCAAGATGATTGTTATGAGCTGGTGGAGCTGACTGAGTCGGATGATGAAGCGCCGCTTCGTCGGCGTGCCGAGTCTGTAGCAGTGCTAAGCTGGCGCTTGGTGTGCTCGTGCATGATCCTGATCAAGGTTAGTGAATGTTGTGAGTCATGGTTAAGTATAGTAACATACCTTTGGTAGTCGGACATGGCTCGCTCAGGGTCGTTGAGGTCAAAGTTGTTGGCAAAGTTGTGTTGAGCACTCATGGGCTCTGAGAAGCCGTCTCCGGAGACGTAGACTTGCTGGCGGGACTCGGTCATGGCAGACATTGTTGATGAAGTTTGGTATGAAGATGTAGTGAAGTAGAGATAGTTTGAAGCTTAAGTAAGATAAGATGTGTACGGAGGGTGTACTGGAGATCGAGGATTTGTATGTGAATCGATAAGCAGGCTGATTGTGATGCGTTCTAGAGAATCAGCAAGCGGGGTGCGAACTATATACCCTCCTTCCGTCTCACAACGCACGCACAACACAGGCGGGCGGAACGACATGTCCCCCATCATGACCGCGCATGGCAAAAGATCGGCCCATGACTGTCGGGTCAAAGAAGTGATCCACCCTGGCCAGCGCGCTAGTGGGCCGCCATCTTCGAGGCTTACAATCACAGATCTACAGGGTCCTTCCCCATCTAGCCCTAGCAGGTATCTGCACCAATGACGAGGCGCCGATACAGACATCCCCGTTTTGAGCGGGTCAAGTACCTAGGGATCACGACGTTGCTTATGATGTCGGCAATGACGGCCACCCTGGAAAGCTGTTTAGGGGTCTTGTCTGGCAATAAGGCTGGCTGGCCATTCACAGCCCACGACAGCCGTACCGCGTTTGTTGAGTGGTGTAGCCGATTAAGGGTCAGGCGGTACACGGCTGCACCTGCGCAATGTCCTTGTTGAAAGCCACCGAGCGGCAATTTCGAATTTCCCATGTTGCATACTTGCTATTTCTCCCATGGTAGAGTCATCATATTCGGGGTGCCCGTATGAAGCTGTGCTGCCTCGCCCAGACTCCATGACGCAGCAGCTATGTCAAAAGTCGAACGGCACGGCTGTCTGCGCGCTTCGTGGAGCACAGAGTCCCCCAGCGACGTCAGACGCCGCCATGGCTCAACTTCGAAACCCGCATGCCACAAGAGATATGCGGCCCAGCAGAGTGAAAGATCCTCCCAGCTCCAGCGCCCCAAAGTTTCCGTGCGCCAAAGAACGTCATCTTGTCCAAGTTCGGCAAAGATAGGCCCGGGAATCCTGCATGGCTATGTATAAGCGGGCCTAGCGCCTCTTTCGCAAAAGCAGGGTCTCGCGCTACCGCACACCCGTTGCGTTCATAGCCTCCACTGTAACCGCTCCCGGGCAACATACTCTGGCTGAACATCGTCACTTCTGACGTTTGTCCGTGTTGGCTTCCTTTCAGCCTCAGACATCGTCATGCAGGGTCTTCGCGCTCCGCCGTGGTCACCAAAGACGCAGGTACCGTTGTGATGACGATGTCGTCTGACCACGCCCTCTACGCTGCAGCCTAGGGCGTATCCAAACCGACAGCCTCAGCCTGTGTCACGAGGCTGGAACCCTCTGGACTTGGCCGTATATTCTGGAACGCATCTCAAGGGAGATCCACGCCCTCGCTGTAAATCACACAGGCTAGATGTCTAGGCCTGTGATCATCACCCTATCCTCCAATGGAATTCGTGCAATTAATCTAAAGAATTTGGACAGAATTTGGACAGAATTTGTGTCCCACAGCAAGAGATCTTCATGCTGCATAATCTGCCTGTCAAATCAAAAGCTACTGCCTCTTTGACAGCATCGAGTCGAATATCCCAACCTCCTTGCGAAACACCCCTTCGATCGCTTCTCCAAATCCCCGATGCCGCTACCCTACGTCTAGACCACTCGTGCTGAATGCACATCTCCAAATCCTCAATCTCATCGCTGGGATTCTGCTCAACCTCGCCGTACATCGCAAGTTCGTGTCAGGATCGAAATGGACCACTTCGACCGCTCTAGTCCCTTTCCAACCGTGCTTGCGGAACGTCATGCCAACCCGCAGATCTTCATCCCCATTGACGGATGTGGTCACCCCACACCACGTCCTTCCCACCAAGGCAGCTCCCCGTCTAAAGGGCCCCGTTAGTCTGTTCGCTACGTTCTTGCGACGCTGCAGGGGGCTACGGCTGTTTACGCTTTTGTGGGTTATGATGTTACTCGTCGAGTCGAGGTCTGCATCAGCGATGAATGCTAATCCTCCAGTGGAACTGTCCCGAGGAGCCATGTCAATCCGGAACGTGTGCCGAGTCCATCGGCATCGGCACTGACTGACTGACGTTTCGAGTGGAGTTTGACGTTTTCTGAGTCGGATGCACGCGACTGACGCAAGAGGCCCTACCCACGTCACTCACAGAGCAACTACCACATTGCGAAAGTGCTCCAGATTCGTCCAATATTGCCTACAACTGTTCGAGACCCTTACCGGTCAATACAGCGCTGACCATCTTCTCGCTGCCCACATATGATGTCATGTCGCTTATTTCATTGAAAACGGTGGCAGGAAAACTGTTCTCGAAATAGATCGTCATCGAAAACGATCGACAAACACACCACCACATTTGACTGCCCCAGCAGACGTTCGTCATCAGGCGAGCTATCCGTTTCGCCTGAGCATCTTTAACGATGCAGACCCAAGTATGACATAGCTGCTCAGCTTTGAGGACAGGAAAGCCACTCAGACATGACATAATCGCACTTCTGCTGGATGCAGGATTCGTGAGCCAGGTGTAGCACGCCGATGCACCTAGCATCCTTCCGCAGGGGAGACTGCAAGCCACCAATTTGCTTTGCGCAACGCAAAGGTGGGTTTGCGCAAGCGTACAGGAGTGCTGATGACGCGCAGCGAGGAAATCCGAAGAACAATATGCGACAGGGTTACGGCCTGAGACGCTGCTTCACAGCTCCGTTCAACGACAATCAATGCACCAGATCTCGGTCATCGCAGTTGCACCAGTCTCATTACTCCCTGAGCGTCAAAGACCAGATACGGACTACGTACCACGGTGATAATCTGCGTAGAGACATTGTCGTACACACATCCTCACAATATCACAGAACGACTCGAGACGGCCAATCCTCTGGTACAATACCTTTATGTTGGCGTACCTTCCAGCGCCTGCGCCTTTAGCCCGCGATCTCTTCGGTTCTAGCATTCGCTCTTCCTGGTGAATCGCCTCGTCTCAACATCTCGTTGACAAAAGCCAGCCATCGACGTACCGCCGCTTGCCTCAATGAACCACAATACACAACACATCCTTTCTCAAGCTGCTTATACATGGATACCTAGTATACAGAGGTTGAGAAGCCAGCATCTTGGTAACATTGTAATGCGTAGGCCACAGTACAATGCGCATGCAATCTTGATCGAGACACCTGAGCCCCCTCGTTGTTAAAGAAGGCACCCTTGGTGATGTTGATAAAGGTACATGGACCCGGTATTCCTATAAACATAGTGCGAACCTTGCAGTGTGCTTTGTTTCTGCCTTCCGCCTTTCATCAAGTAACTACAAGCTTGTTTCCCTTCTTCTTCTTCTTCTTCTTCTTCTTCATCTCAAGCATCTCATCTTTCCACTTGCTCACTTCCTCTATCGCCTTCTTTGGCTCCATCTTGTGCATCAGCAAATAGCCTTGGACCTCCGCAGGCGAGAAGATCTTCTCGGGTAAGGCATCAGCAAAATGCTGTGCCATCTCTCCGAGCTTGCCTAGCTCGAGGGTGGCGGCAACGGATTTCTTGGGCAGGCAGATACCGAGGAGTTCGTGGGTTCCGACTGCATTTGCGGGTATTCCATTATCCATAGCGACCTCGGTCTCAGGGGTAATCTCAGATATGGCGGTGTCGGCGTTGAACATGCGCATGTACATGTCGCGGATCTGATCGCGCGTGGCGAGTGTGAAGCCGATCTGGAGATCAACGCGACCCGGTCGGGTTAAAGCGTCATCCAGCTTGTCTGGTGTATTGGTAGTCATGATGAGCACATGACCCTCATGGGAAGCGGCACCATCGATGACATTGAGCAGTCCACTTAGACTTATGGAGCCCAAACCTCCTCTTGAGACTTCTGTTGAAACTGGCTTATCCGTTGCTTCTGAAAGTGACTTTTCGGCTACGTTCGCCACTGCCTTATGCGCAGACTTTTTTGGAGATTCTGGAAGTGCGGGGTCCTTTACTGGCTCCTTCTGCTTCGCAAACCGGCTGAAGAGACTGAAGGGCAACCGAACTAGTATCAGAGGCCACGCAAGAATACTATGAGCTTTCGATGGTGTAATACCTGGCTTGTCCTGTGTTCCAATCTTGTGTGCCTCAAGAACAACTGTGGCATCATCGATAGCTAGAACGGGAGATGCAAGACCCTCACGCCGAATACCCGCAGCGTCGATGTCTTCAAGGAGAAGGAAACATCGACGAGGAAGTTCGTTGAGTAAGGAACTCAGCTCGGACTCGGTGATGCCGTCGTTGAGAGAGAGACAGTACACATCCAGACCGAATATGCCAGCTAGAGCAAAAGAAAGCGATGTTTTCCCTGTTCCTGGTGGCCCATGGAAGAGATAGCCACGGCGATGAGGGATACCACGTGCGGCATACCAACGCGCCGTGGCAGGGTTGAGATACTCGTTAATATCCGCAACGATCCTGCCTTTCTGTTGCTGGTCTAGAGCTACCGTGCTAAGTGGCCGTGACGAGCGTCTAGACTGACGTCTCCAGTACCGCTCCCCGCGACCGTTTTGATTTGGAGCTTGATAAATCGATGTAGTTGTACTTGCCTTGTTAAGACTCCACCTTTTGACGTAGATAAGCAGTTGCTTAATAGGCTCAGTTCCCCTCCCTCTGCAGCACAGTACAATCTGCTCATCGTAACTGTCTCTCCGTCCACCAGTCTGCTCCTTCTTGACACGCGCAAAACTAAACCATCGACCCTGGTGATAAAAGTTGTAGTCACCGAAACTGGGCTGATATACTGGTGGTATGTTGCCCGCCCACTTCACATTATTGAAAATTCCATATTCATCCAATCCGTCGTCACTATCATCTGCGTCTTCGACTCCGCGAACGTGGCGGGTAGCTGCAGTCAGACGTCTACTAGATGTCGGCATGTGCTGCACCGCTATCCAGCTCATGACGTGGTCGTACAGGATATCGGATTCGTCAATAACGACGGACGACGTGTAGTAGACGGTGAAATAGTCGTAAGCTCGGCCGTAAGTAAAGATGGCTCCGTGATACAGGCCAAAGAGGACAAGCCATCCCGTGACAAAGACGCCGATGTCGAAACCCAGATAGCGGAATGTTAGTTGAGCGATTGTGCTGTAGCCTGGAACAAACATCTCTAGTACTGTTGATGGCACGCTCGTGCTGGTTACATTGTTGTTTGTAGAGTTGAATTCGGATATAATAGCCTGGAGGCGGGAGAAATCCATTTCGTAGTTCGACTGTGGGGGTCCGCCGCCGTATTTTGGTAGGCGTTTTGGAAAGAAAGAGAGAGTAACGAAGCCTGTCTGTGGATTTGTAGTAGACGCTGTTCGGAATCCGAGCATAGTCAGGGAAACAGTAACGCAGGATAATCACTGTGCTGTACGTGTCGTCGATAAGGAATATGATACAGAAGGAACAGACCAATTGATTGGACGCTTGCCATTTACAGGAGTGCTTGTACTTGAAAGAAAAGGACAGCTCATCTGTAGAGGGTGATTGATGCAATTCATAAGGATGCTGTCACAGATGCATATTCAACAGTAGACTCGCCACAACCCCACCACACTTTACGTGTCGAAGAGCATATCAGACCTGGTTTAGTACTTCGTGTACACAAGACACCGAGGTCATACGCCGTTTGCGAGAATATTCACTTACAACGAGAGGACGTGCCTCAATCGGACAGTGATCAACAAGTGAGCATTTCGGCAAATAGCAGGGGATATTGGAGCCTCGGGAACGAAGCTCTTCGATTGTAACATTGATGTGATCAGCTCACGTAAAGAGGAAGAACACTTGCGCCAAGCTCAACGACTCATAATCAAGAACGGAGTGCATGAGTATCGCCTACCGAAGATGTTGTTTGGTGTATGCTTCAAACGACGAGCAAGAGAACGCCAGCATAACAGGTCACGGCGGAACGATAACAACATGCTGAAGAAAGGTCGCAGACGTGTCAGTCCCAGGTTGAGGCAGCCTCTCCTCATTACCACCACATCATCAAGATCTCAGGAATCAAGATTCGATAAACTTCGGATCATCCATGGGTCGTAAGGTAGAAAGGCATAACGTTTACAACAAAGCAAAAAACAGATTCAATGGTATCGTGCGCAAATCTACATCACTCCTTTGTTTCTAAGATCCACTTTCTTTCTTGTCCCTAGGGGATACACAGAACTGTGATCTGGCGCAGCCTTCCTACAGCCTTTTCCCCAACAAACATCAACCAACACTTCAAGAAAAAACAAGATAGTACAGAAAGGTAAGAATCAGACAAAGAGAAAAATTGTTTCTGCCTTCGCCATAGCTACATGTCTTGAAAGTTGAGGTCAACACGCCCACCCCGCCCCCCGCTACGGGAGTACGGGGACGGGAATGGATACCTGGGAGCTAGGCAGCAAGGATGAAGTGTCTTTTCAGTTGTCGTCGTTTGCGGTCGTAGGAGAACGCCGATACGCATGCAAGAACCATGTGCTGAAGAATGCTTTGGGTGCTATCATCAAAGTCTCTTATTTGTTTCTTTTGGAAAGGAAAAGACTTAGTTGCGGCCGAAGTGACCACGGCGGTGCTTGTGTGCGTGTCGGCGGTAGTCAGCACCAACAGTGGTGGTGACGACGACCTCAACGATGGCAACCTCGTATACGACACCGTCCTTGGTGTAGGTAGAGGTAGAGACAGCCTCGTCACCCGCGACAGCATCAACGATGTCAGCAAGAGGAGTGACGGCAGGTGCAGCGGGGTAGTTGCCGTAGTCAGCGCTGGAGCTGGACTTGACCATGGTGGAAGGGCTCTCAACGTTGTAGACGGAGATACCACCAGCGCCCATGGAGCGAGCAGGAGCGTAGGACTGAGTGGGCACAGGGGCAACAGAGGACAGAGTAGGAGTGACGGGCTCCTCGTCGTCCTTGTCTCCTCCCTCAAGGGGTGCGGCATACTCGGGTCCGTATTGAACGGGGACGTTACCGCAGAGACCGTTGGAAGGACCAGCGCAGTCATCGACAGAGAGGACCTTGGGCATGGACTGGATCTTGCAGGTGGCCTGCTCAGATTCAGTTTGGAGGGAACCGGAGAAGACTGGGCAGTCCTCAACGCGACCAGAGGGGTTGGTGCAGGTGGAGACGGCGGACTGGAGGGTGTCGATGTTCCATCCGTTGATGAAATCAGCGTGGTATCCGTAACCTATCTTGCGTTAGTTGTGAATCGACACAGAAATATTGGGGTTACATACCAGTTGGGTCACCGTTGGACCACACGAACTGACCGGGGGAGTCCTTGAACTTGTAGGTGTTCCAGATAGTCTCGTAGAAGAGAGAGGGAACACGAGTGTCGAAGCCCTCGGGGCACGAGCCACCGTCAATCATGTTAGGGTAGGCCATGTGGCTCTTGTGGTCGTCGGCGGTCTTGTCCTTGCCGTTCCAGCACGAGGGGAACATGATCTCGGCACGGATACCGTTGGCGCAGTTCTCGTCCATGTAGTCCTTGGTGGGGAGGAAGTGGCGGTAGCGCGAGCCCTCGGGTGCCTTGTTGTAGTTGAGGCAGTTGAAGCCAATGGACTTCTGGCCGAGAGACAACTGGGTCATGTCGTCGGCGGTCCAGGCAGAGGTTGGCGGGTCAGGAACCGGGCCGGTGAAGTTACGGAGACGGGAGTCACCTGCGAGCATCTGGAAGCCCTCAGGGAAGGCCTTCAGGTCATCGCCGAGGAGGAGGTAGTATGCGAGCATACCACCAACCTGGGGGACGATCTCAGTCTTGCCACCCTCGTGGACAAAGTGGAGGGAGGGGGTCCAGTAGGCGGACTTGTCGTCGTCGAACTGGCACGAAGTGCACTCCGACTCACGGAGCATGTCATAGGTGGTCGTCTCAGCGAAGTCTGTCGGCTGTTAGTAAGCTGTAATCATCCGCAAACTTGCCCCTGATTCAGACACCCACATGCAGGTCATCGCATGAATGACTCGCATACAACTGGATAGCTCAGGGGCTCCTTGTTTGGAGGTGCCCTGACATGTCCAGAGAAGATGCTCGTCCACCATGCGCCTGGCGTGGGAGGTCAAATCAGAAGCGGACAGTCTTCACTTACTGCTTCCACCGTGGATGGTGTGGGCGTGAGAGGAAGCAGTTCCTTCGTCGACGATGGGGTCCAGACGTGCGAGGGCAGTGCGGTCGTGGCAGGGCATGCGCCAGAAAGCGTTGGCAGAGCCGGACAGCATAGCTGCCGCGGCGATGGATGCGACAGACTTCATGGTTGAGAGTGTAGTCGGCTTGGGTTGAGTGTAGAAGTGGTGGAGTACTCTTGCGATAAGGGTGACTGTTGAGACAAAAGGCGAATGCTTTTTCCACTATGTCGTCGGAATAGTATCGATGGCGTTTCCGTGTACGTTGACGAAGTGAATAACCTCAGCCTCCAGGACTCTCCCGAGCTTCAAGTTGGATAGACACAGAAATGAGTGTAGCGTTGTCGCGAAGACAACTAGATTGATGGATAGCGAATGTTGCTGGTGGTGCCAAAGGAGTGACAGAGCGAAAGAATGAACGCGGTAAAGGAAGGGAAAAGAAGGAGATGAGATACGGGAGAGATGGGGAGACGAGCGGTTATCACGCTTGATCAGTGCTAGAGGCTCTTTTTAGGGGAGATGAAGGAATGCTTTGGTTTAGCGAGGTGAAACCCTAGATTAGTCCATGGAGCATGGGATGCCCTGGGAGGCTGCTGCGATGCTCTCGTTGGACCGTGAGGCGCTGCGCACCGGCCGCTAGTCCAGAAATAGTAAGCTGAAACATGTCAGTAAGGGGATCCAGCACATGGATTTGGAGAGTGCCGGCGGGCAGCCTTGTGCGAGCCAAATGAATCGAGCACTTTGGAGCCGCATTCTGTGGAGGCGGCAATCACTCATGATGCTGGTGATCGTGAAGCACCCGCGCCGCTTCCGTCGTCGACGCCTCTGCTTCACCATCTCATGGCCTAGTTGATCCACTCCACTCTTGCGCACCTTGCTCATCTGCGTATTCGGTAGGTCGTTGCACGTAACACCGGCCGGCGTGACACAATCAGGCCGGATCATCGCTTCCTATCGTCTTTGTTTGGTATAGGTAGTCTGGGTACCTGAATTGGCGGCAAACCGTGCGCCGTCGCAGCATCGCAATCTCCAGCCTAAGAGAGCTGCCACTCGCTGGCGGCCCCAAAATACTGCACTGACGGCGGCGACATCATGACGACCCACTGAAATGGCACATCGCAATCGCAATGCGGATGTCGGCAGAGGCGTCCATGTCATCGCGATCATTCAATGCCTCCGACTCCTTTTCTTTTCCGCGAGGGGTGGTTGATCTTTGGCCACCTGCTGTTCTACGGCTGTTTGCACCACGCCAAAACGACGCTTCCACTGCTCCCCCTTCTCTGCATAGTCGGTGAGCGGCTGCCTGCCTCCATTCGAGCGGGAACCCGGAGCAGGTGAGATTGCGCCAAATACCTCCAAGCCCGCGCGGCAATAACGCGGCGAAGCGTAACGTCTTCTCGCCATCTCGCTACTCTGCTTGGTTGCTTGGTGTTGACTTGTCACGACACGGCGTCCTGCGCGCAGTCCAAAAGAATCCTCAATTCCTCCTTGTGCGGCACAGCGGTCGCACGACCTTCTCCAGGACCCCTCTTCTCCCAGGAGCGCAAGTCGTGGTTGGGCGCAAGGCATAAGCGCCACGCCCCTCGCCTCGTGTGCTGTAATTCCCGTCCCGGCACCATACAGCCTATCGATAGCGGTTTTTTTGTTCCTGCAGTAGCGCTCACAAGGGCGTCATGTGCTGCCGCTGGCTAAACTGTCTCCCGCCAAACAATAGGCCGGCGCTATTCTTGCGCGCTCATACGCAGCTGATCCCTTCTCAGCCTCCTCGAGAAAGCACGATGGGACAGGAATAGTGCAGGAACGATATCTGTGCCTGCTATAGCCTAGACCCAAGCCAGCAGGAGCTGAGCGCAGCGCCCACCCCTCGTCACGACGACATATCGCGGCTGGGTAAATGAGTACTCTCTAAGAAAAACCTGTCACTCGTCTCATACCCCTCCTATTCTCGCACACATAGTAATGCTTGAAGCACAGATCCCGGATGTCATTCTCAGGCACATGCGTAAAACACGCCTTTGCTCAGGTACCCCGCAGCTGCCATTGGCTCAACCCTCGGAGCCCGCCTGAAATGTTTCAAGGCATGGTTTTCTGGAATAACGTCAAACTCATGCTACCCTCGACTTGTGCTGGGAGCGTGTGAGACAATGATCAGCATGTGTAACTCTGCTCGTCATGTTTGTCTTAAGATTTGTCGAGCAAAGTCGCGTAGATCTAAGCAAGGAAAAGCTGTGTATCGATAGCGCACCCAGATCCACGCCACGAGCTTGCGCCCAACTGTTCCACAGATAGTATGACCGGCTACGTTGCTCCCTGTTTTTCTTTTGCGCCGCCGCCACATCGCGCCGTCGAGCCGTGCATCTGCGACACCCGGGAAAGGCTGTTATGTATCGATAGCACGGGGACACGAGAGATAGGAAGGCATGAATGTATAGGCCCAACAACACAATAAGCACGATGTCAGCCTAGTACGATCGCTCGATCTGATGTAATATGTACTGCGTGGGAAGAGTTGGGACCAGTTCAGGGGAGCATAGTATCTGAATACGTACTGCTCTTCTTTGCTCTTGTCATCAACATGATTTCCTATCATGCTTTGACTGGTAGAAGGACTTGGCAAACAAAAGCATAGTATACCAAACATGAGCCAATAACTGCTTTCACTGCTACTGCGAACCGGTCCCAAGAGATTAGGAACTATCAATGACATTAAAACAGGTGTCTGGTATTGCCTATAACTGTCCGTCTGTAGTCCGGTCTTTCTCCTGCAGGACTACGCGCGCATCGTAAGAAGCAGGCATTTTCTCATGATGTCCTATATCGCTAGGAAACCATGTGCGATCCATGGAGATGGATTGTACCACTGCCAATCCCATGACCTGTTAAGCCCTCACAGCCTCGCCCCATGCCGCAACGGAATCTTCTCCCACGCCTCCTTGAATCCACAACTTCTCACCCAATGTGGCTCTCCAGCCTCTACAGAATCCAACGCCATGTGCCCGATCTTTCTCCACATGTCCCCCTTAATTAACATTCCCTCTTTACCCTCCCACTTCTTGCAAACCGCCTCTGCATTAGCGATCGCCCTTACAAGCTTACAAGCATGTCCATCGTCTTCCACTTTATTCACCCTCTTGATGACTTCACCCATACCACTATCTTTTGTCGGCGCGTAGCTGTTGATCTCGTTGATGAGGAGGGATGGGCAGCCGCGCGACACATACATGGTGATGTCGTTCCAGACTTTCCACTCTAAAAGGCGGCGCTGGATGGCGGGTGATAGAGAGGAGGCGGGAGAGAGGAAGGCGGAGAAGAAGATGCTGGAGTTCACGCAATGCATGTAGAAAAAGTCGAACTTGACTTGGTGGGGTGGACGTTGGGCGGCGGCCGTGTAGTATACTGTCGTTGTGTCTGCGTTAGTATGATGATGTACAAAGACGTAGAATACAGTTAGATTGGAAACGAGTCCATGACATACCAGCGGCGTTGATCATCTCTGCAGTCTTCTCTTCTAGTTCCTGCTCTTTGACTGTATACTGCACCGCATTCTTGATCATCTCTTCTGGTGCTCTCTTCAGGATTCCGTCTCGGATCTTATTTCCATCTTCAAAGTGCGCTGATTTGCTCAACTTGTCGTCTTTCTTGCACTCATCCAGTATCTGCACGATGGTCTTCCTCGACCCATCTTTACCTCTCATCTCTTTAGCGGCTTTCTCGCATCCATGAAATAGCGGTGCCATCCAATTGTCGTGTACAGCGGCTTGCGCCAGCGCCTCTGCGATGATGGCTGGCTGTTGGAACTCGATGCCGAACCCGAGATGTATGATGGGATGAAGGAATCCGGCGTACATCCGTACTAGCATGTCATCTGCGTGTTCGGTTTCTGCAAACAGATGTTCTTGTAGTACGCGTTGCCAGCCATTTTCATTAATCTCTTGCTGGAAATAGACAAGGAAATCATGATAGTATTTCTCTTGTCCAAGATACGACTTCAAGCGCTCGGGGTCGTGCATGTCATCGACGATAGACTCTTTGAGAGGCTCGGGTGGGCGTTGGTAGGTTACGTTCGCATCGTACGCTTTTTGGAGTTCTTCTGGTGAGGCATTGAGCGCAAATAGGGTGAGGAGATGGTGGGCAATATGGTTCTAGACGGGAGTTGTGAGTATTTGAAATATTATGATGAGCATTGCTATCTTACATGGAATCCGCTCTGATTGAAGAAAATGTGGTGCTCCTCATGGTTTGTTTGCAACAACTGGCTTGCCTTCTCTGCACTTTCGGGTCTCAGCCCGTTGACATAGTACTGTGGCTTTTGCGATGCCTGTAAATCAACTTTGGACCCGGTAGCCATGGTTCCAAATGTACTCGAACGTGGAAGGCCAAGATGCCTCGAACGCGCAACGTAAATTGGTGTGATTGGTGCACCAAAATTTGGTTTAGGGATAGTCGACGATGCACGCACAGCTCTGGCGAACATTTATAGGGGCTGTTTTCAACTTGCCTCTAGTTTTATGTATAGAGGAGAGAGCGTTACGAAAGCAAGAAATCGCATCGTTCGTAAGCTTATATGGTGTGAGAAGCACGAAGGCAAGTCGCAAAGCAACCGCTATGACGTTTGTGGGGAACCCTGCAGCTCGCGCCGCCCGCCCCTCCATTACGAACCATGTAAATGTCAGCGCGGATCTTCGGTGCATGCATGACGCGAGGTCACGAGTTTCTTTGTGTCATCAGCAAGGTCTGAAATGCTGCAAAATCATTCAGAGAAACATCTTAGATACCAGTACATGATACCATGTTGTATCCTACGTGCGCTACGTGGTCATGAATCCCATTGCCTACCCAAAAACACCTTGCTATGCTTCATATGATGAGGACGAAGAAAGAAAACACTCGTACTTTGGCTGCGAGGCGTATATTATTCAGAATATTTCTTAGCCTCCATGCCCTCAGGTGGTTCGGGTACCACGGTCTTGTTGCCAACGTTGCTCCAGTCGGTGCTCAACACTGTACCACCGCTTTCCTGGTAGCTTTTCATCATGGCGCGCTGCTGCTCAGGTGTAGCGCCGCTGTACAGCTGCTTGAAAAAGTGCGATGTCTCATCGCCTTCAATTTCGTCTTTGTCGTCGAGATCATTGACTACCACCTTGTCCCAATTCTTTGCACCTGACTTGGAGGATGTTGGGTATGCGGGAGCTGTGTCCTTGGTGGTGCGGACGGCGAGGGTCGCATCGGGGGCTTGGGTAGTGGTAACGTGGCCATCGGGGTGCTCGAGGTCATGCCATTTCAGACCGGTAGTTGCCTTTCGCATTGTAATCTCCAACTTGGTGGGCGTGACTCGGAATTTGGATTGCGAGGGGTCGATCTTTTCGTATAGAGGGTCGGCGCTGTAGCTGTATTCTGACGATGAGCCGACGATGGGGAACGAGACAGACACGGATCGTTCTTCGAACTCGACGCTCAGTTTGTCGTTGGGTATGCCTTTGGCCATGATAGTAAGCGTGACAACTTCAGGCGACTGGTACCAGTCAGTCTTGATCTTGTCTTTCGGGGTCGGCGCAACAGGCTTCGGGGCCTGGACTGGGGTCGAGGCGGGCTCTGAAGCCTTGGGGGGTGCAGCAGGTGCTGGAGTACTGGGCATGTCGACGTCTGGTGTCTCCTTGATAGTGATGCTCCTCTTCTCATCGTCCTGCGGAACATCCTTCAGCTTGGTTGCGACCTTGGCCTCCCAGATGGGCAGCATCTTGTCCTTTTCATCAAGCCCCTTCACAATCTTCAGCAAGTACTCGGCATCTGCGTATTTTCCGAGGTGGAACAAGGCGACGGCGCGTCGGAATTGGGCGTCCTTGATGAGTTCGCGGGAGCCGCGTTTCTTAGCGAAGACGACGGCGAGTTCGGCGTCGCTGAGGGACTCGGCATATTTGGAAGTACGCTGGTAAGCTGTGGCGCGACCGATGTAGTACTTGACGGCTGCGGGGTTGACTGAAAGAGCCTTGGTGTAGTGCTCAATCGCTTCTTCGGGCTTGCTTGCGCTGAGCGCGGCGTCGCCTTTGCGGGCGTCGTCCATGGCGGGGTAATACGTTGTTGAGCGGAAAAACAGGCGTGGAAGCGACGGGAGGGTTTGGGCGTTTGGGACCTTTTATAGAGGCTTGCTCATGGTTGACGATGAAAGAAACTGGGTAATTGTACAATCACAACCGTGGAAGCTTCCATTGCTGCCTTCGAGAACCAGGGTCCAAAACGCCGCTAGCACACGCCCTCACTTTCACCACCACCACCACATTCGCGCCCGCAGCATCAATTGGAATCACCGCGTTCACATCGAGCAAGTGGATACTGGGAAAAAAGCTATTGTCGTATATGTATTACTACACAAAAGGCCCTGCGCCTGCAATGACGAATCAGGTATATATGTAATGCCGACAACGGCAGTCCAAAAAACTCCAGAAACCAGAAAACAAGTGCTCTACATCTTTTCGATACGCATGCTCACACGTTACGCTTAGAAGACAAGGACAGCGCCGAAAAGAGCGCTGGCTGCGATCATGCCGACGAAACGAAGGGGCACATCGAGACCAGCAGCAGCACCCTCGTTGTTGCCAGCGCTGCCAGTGGAGCCGGGAGTAGGCGAGCGGGTGGGGTTGCCAGATCCGGGGGTAGCAGTAGACTCGCTGGGTTCGCCAGCAAAGTGCGAGCCATCACCCTCGAGACCGGGTCCCTCACCAGCACCTTCGTCCATGAACTTGACAGCGTTGGCAGGGATAGCAGGGAGGGAGGTGCCCTCGACGTGCCATTCATCAGACTCAGCAGGGCACTCGGACGCCTCGCCGTTCTCCCTGAAGCCACCGTCGCCGCGAGGGTTAGCAGTCGCCTTGTAAGCCTCGGCAAGACGCTCAAAGTCCGCGTTGGGCTCAATGTCGCCGTTGCTGCCGACCTCGACAAGACCGTAACCGTTGGGCTCGACAGTGTACTCGTAGACGAGACCACCAGAGTAGACACCCGTCATGTTTGTCGAGTACAAAGCCTCAATCTCACCCCAGTTGCGCTGGTTGGTGATGCAGCCAAACTCAGACAGGAAGATGGGCTTGCTGTAGTCGCTGTACGTCCTGACCTTGGCGTCCCATCCAGACTCGGTGAAAGACGAGGGGTCGCACCACGAGTAGTCGTTGAAGGCAAAGAAGTCGGAGCGCTCGTCATCAGTACCGCAGTTGAAGTAGAGGGCTTGGGCCTCGATGTTCTCAGCAACATCAGCAGCCGAGTATCCGACGGGAATGACACGGTTGTGCCTGTTGGAGATGTACTGCTTCATGTCACGAGTAACGGCCTTGATGTAAGGAGCAGCGTTGGTGTTGTTCCTCGCGTTGATGACCTCGTTTCCGGAAAAGAAGAGGAGCAAGTTGTTGTAGTCGGCAAACGCGTCAATGGTAGCAAAGACGGATTGCAGGTAAACATCGTTGTACGAACGGTGGAGAGTGTCCTCGTTCTCTCGGTTGAGAGAGTAGTCGGGTGTGTTGGCATCGAGCGCCAAGTAGATACCGGCGTCATCGAGCATCTTCATACCCTCGTCGTGGTTTTGAGAGTTGTCGATGGTGTAGATACGGATGGTGTTGATGCCGAGCGACTTGAAGTTCTCAACATCGCGTTTGAGACCCTCGAGGTCGAGCAGCGGATCGGCAGCGTCGGCCGCGCCACCTAAGATGCATTAGTATCGTGTTGCTGTTGTTATTGTTTTGTGACAACAAACCTGGCTGGTAGGCGACACCGCGGACGTAGAATCGCTCATCACCGGCGAAGAAGGCGTTGCCTCGAACGGTGACTGGTGGTAGGTTTCCCTTGGATTGACGGGCGACAACACTGGCGAATGCTGGGGCAACAGCGGCACCCAGCACGGAGAAGACGACACAGGCCTTCATGACTGGAGTTGGAGAAGAAGTGGAATTAAAAGGCAAATAGAAGAGCGATTGGAAGTCTAACGAGTGACTGGTAAAGTAGGAAAGGTAAATCTCACACAGAGAACATGCAACTGTTGAGGTAGAAGCCGGGATGGTCAAACTATTTGAAGCGGCAACAGAGCAATTTCTTGGTTCCCCCGAGTGCTACATGTGGAACTTGCCAACCCTCATGGTCTGTCTGGCGCCGCTGCGCGCCAAGTCGATGGGTGTTGGCATGCGCGCAGGAATCGCGGAGACCAAGCAGCCAAGTCCATAGTCGTGAATTAGCAGAAGCCCGCCGAGCCTTGGTCAGGGGCAACAAAGCCAATGACTGGCAGGAGCATGCCTGGTAGACGTCTTGATAGCGAGTGAATTGCGCGTCCGTTGATTTCCCGCCGCTTTACACAGCCTCGTTGAGACAGTCAAGACTTGTTCGTTCGTTGCAGGTCAATTCACCGTCGCTGGAGGCGAGCGCGCGCTCATGAAACGGCAGAGCGCTTGGCTCTCGAGAGGGAAATGACGGCCAGCATCGCATTCCAGAAGAGCCCTGCGGAAGGATCAGTACCGTGGAAGGGCCTTTGCTGACGACATATTTGCGGCCATGCACAGGCTGCAGCTACAATCGTGATGCCACGATTAGTTCTCCATTCTCTTGGGCGGCATGTTTGCCGGGTCGCTGACAGCACTTGTTGCGGGCCGTGGAGATCCGAAGCGAAGCTTTAGGAAGAAAAAGCAGCCTGTCCATCTACTCGGGCATATAGATTGTTGACATCGATAGGCGAATTGTGAGGTTTACCATGGTTGGTTTCGAGATTGGAGAGTTGACAGCTGTCGCAGCTGGGGCCCCGACGTTGACACCCGCGGCGGAGATGGCCCGGCCGGTTGGTCGCTTCCGACGCGTGTCGCTCTTGTCCACCAGCGTTCTCTCAACACGACAGATTACCGTGGATATGCCGATGCTCCACAAACAAAAAGTTTTGTGAGTCGACAGATGATGCGTTTTCGATGTTCCGTATTGATCGCACTTCCTATGGCACCCATTCCACACAGCTCGTCTGCGGCAACAAGCAATGACACCGAAGAGTTCTGCGACGACAAGTAAAGCTTCCACTGTTGGCCGTTAATGCTGTGGGTGACCAACCTCTTCAGCTGTGCTGCTTCTTCCTGCTTCCTTGCTACGAGACATGTTTCCAATGTGTTGGTGTGACAACGACGTCTTGTTCAGTCCAAAGCCGTTCCTGCTCAGGAAGGACTCATCGTGACAAAGAGGTGGACGCGTCTTCATAAAGAAATCCAAGTACAATAACTACGATCCAGACATGAGAGAAAACTGGTTCACGTGAACATACAACGGCGAGTTCTCCGAAGAGATGTCACGCATTGGCTCTTAATGCGTTACTATTCTGGTCAGCACAACAGACGCATCTATTCCCCCAACCCGTTTGGACCCCACAAATATATGCCATTAGGATGACATAAGAAGAAATTAATATGCGTTCGTTGTCGTCGCGCCCAACTATAGTTTCAGGTGCAACGCGCCCCACGTAAACCCCGGTCGCATTCACCGCAGCGGACGAACCACACGCGAACTGCAGGCGCTACAAGGGTACATCACCCAACCGCGAGGTTCGCGACCCCGATAACATAGCAATGCAAACGCGCAATAGGTCCAGATGATGAGAAACCCAGGTGAGGCGCGGTGTATTGCGGCGCGGACAAAGCGAATCCTTGCGTAGGTGTGAGATGATAAGAGTCCTTCTTGACTGCTCACGCTTGAGTACACGAAAACCACTCACAGTCCCACTACCAAAATGCTTCGAAATACACTCTTCGCAGCTTTGCCGCTTCTCGTGGAGACTGCGTACCTTGACCCATCGCTACAACAGCAGAAGCCTTTGCTGGACCCCAAGCCAGCGTCTGGCCGTGTGATCCCCATTACAGTATGCTCAAGATTGACCCTACGTTGCTCTAGACCAATCTAACAAACCAATAGCTAGACCATGATCTTCGCTACACCTTCATCAACTCTCCTCCTATCTTCGACTTGAAGCCTCTCGAACACCTCCAGAACTCAATGGCCAGCTACAGCGCCGGAGGACCCATTCAAGAAACTATACTCGTCAACATCCCTCTCAACAGTTCACAGTCCGGCACCGCCACTTTCTACACCATTTCTGAATCAGATTCATGGTCGCAGGCTGCCAATCAATTCACTTGGATGCAACAGGAACGACTACATCTCCAACCCATTCTCGGCGCTCAACTCCCCTTACTAGGTATCGGCATAAGAAAGAGCGGTATGATCTCTATGTCTGCTGAATCCGCCACTCTCGATCTAAGCACACCATATATCCATGTTCCGAAAGGCATTTGGGACGTCTTGCTACTGGCTACCAGTACAGAACAGCAAGCCAGAGATGGCAATGAGATGCTGTATGTTGATTGTGGAGCTTTCAACATCTTCCCTGACCTGGTATTTGGGGTCGAGCGAGAGGATTTTGAAGGAGGAGCTGAAGAGAATGATGGAGAGAACGAAGAGGACGACGATGACGATGTTGACGAACTGGTTGTCAAACCCGAACAATACATACTGCAGACCGCAGATGGGAGATGCATGCTCCTAGCTAGAAACGCGGATTCTTGTCATGACGACAGGGGAATAATCAAACTTGGCTGGGCAGCGGTCAGAGGCCGTGATGTGGTGTTGGATTGGCATGGGTCAAGGGTTGGCTTCGAAAAGCAGGCCTGAGAATCTAAAGAGAGAAAGGAGCGAAGGATGCTTGACACCTATGGTCATCAAGTTAATGTTTATAGTCTCTAGCGGATGAAACGAAGTAAATCGGTTTGACTTATACCGCTTCGACATTTCCGCGAGAGGATATTGAAGAACGGTACGGAGCCATGCAGACATGAGCAAAAGGTTCGCATATGGTGAAGGAGAAAGGCATGTTACTATAAACGATCACTACTCGATCTACATCAAACAGAAACTCAGCGCGACAGCGCCGACAGAGACAAGCAGGTGAACCCAGCCTACTCTTAGTCCACTCGCCGCATCCTCATCATCATCACCCCCTTGCGCACTTCCATCTCCGGAACTTTCCGGATTCGAATCTCCTTTTCCTTGTTGCTGTTCCTTGTTCGTTACACTTCCTGCCACGCAAGCGCCCTCATCCATGCCTCCGTTGTTTCCAAACGCCACATTGGCCGTCTTCTCCCACAACCTTGTCACGTTGAAGTAATCCTCAGGCTCGTACCAGATCCGACAACTCGCCGTATCGTTGAGAAACTGTGTTGGCACGCCCGCCGACTCAAAGCCTGCACGGATGTTGTCCTGGAAGTTGACGCTAGCATCGATTACGGCGATGGGCGGAGTTGATGGGAGGAACTCGGCCCAGTCGTTTGCTTCGGAGCGAGACGACGCGAATTGCGAGGTGACGTATTCGGAGAGGGCTTCCATGTAGAGGGAAGGGATTACCAAGGTGCCTTTTGTGCCACCGACGGCTACCATGGGACCAAGGCTAGGGCGGCCGCCAATAGCGAGGCTTCGTACGCCGGACTGTTGGACCATGAGTTCGGTGAAGATGGAGCATGTTGAGGCGCAGACGCCGTCAGTTAGCAAAATGATGTCCTCGGCGCGGAAGGGGTCCGTAGTGAAGTTGCTTCTCGAGTTGTAGCCTGTCATGGTGATTCCTACGGCGGTACGCTCGTTGCTTGTTGTCAGAGGATCACTCAAGTTGTATTTGAGTAGGGCGGTGAACTTGTCGTTGTTGAATCGCTCGGGTGGATACATGGCTTTCCAGTCTGGGAAGTCTTCGCCAGTGGAAGAGAGGTAGGCGTCGTTGCTGAAGGGGCTCGTGAAGAGTTCGGCGTTGAGGAGGTTAATCTCCTTGAAGCTAGATATACTCTCGCCGTAGACCTCGCTGGCTCGGTGTCCGCGATATCGGTTCTGTGTCTGAGGTTCCTGGGATGGGAAGAATTGTAGGTACATATCATACCCCGAGAGTACTTTGCCACCATTATTGGCACGTATATCAATAATGTGTTTCTCCACGCCACGGGATTGGGCTTGCGAGATGTACTCCTGAATTACGGCTTGGAATTCCTGTGCACCTGCAACGTCCTCGGTATTGAATGTCGTCGCTACAAGAACACCGATTTCGCCAGCATTGGTATTGATGAAGAATCCGGCCAAAGGCACCTGATCCGCCGAGTGAGCAACGACCGGATCTGGGTAAAGCAATGGCACTGAGCCGTGTTGTTGGGCAAATGTACCCCTGAATTCATAGTCGCGCGGGTTCTCCAAATGCATGGGTAGTTTAGTAGGATCCCTCTTCTTGACCCTAAATGAGCTCGTCTCAGGTCTAATGTATGTATCATAAAATGACTCAGGATCGCTGACATAGCTCCAAGTCTGAGGATCCACAACGATGGCACCATTGCTATACGTATCGGTTGTTCCGTTCTCGAAAGTAATGTTCGTCGTAGAACCAGGGTAAAACCTTGGACTGGTAAAGTACCCATAGTTTTCTGCGGCCTGTGAAAAGAACATGGCATTGAACCGAGTATCCGGATCGTGGTAAGAGTTCAAGTTCGCCTCGTCCGTCAAGAACTGTACAACGTCCCTTCCGTCGATTTGTGTGACCGGCGAAGGTTCATAATCAACAGTGCCATTGAAGTCCTCCAAAGCCCAGATTCGGGGCATCTCGCTCCCATCTCTTGACGCTGAGACCAAAGCAAAAGCGCTGCTTCTTCGCCATCTGAAGACTCCTGCATATGCCATACCGTTCCAGCCGAGATGCCCATCGTGCGCCTTCACCATCAAAGATGCAATGTCATTTTCAAAGTCGAATTCATTGCTGTATTGTCCGGATTCGACGTTGCTTTTGATGCTGTCTAAGCCGGCAACGATATCGACAGCGTCATTCGGCCATCCCTTCGGTGGGTCTTTGAGGTAGTTGAGCGTCGATTGAAACTCCACCATCTTCTTGATCTCATCCACTGTCGATGATGCGGAGGTTGAGTAGAAAGGCAGTGACTTGAGGCATGCGTACGCTAGTGCGGCATCCACGACTGGGAACTCTGAGAAGTCATCCGCCACTAGCTCGGCTATGTCTCCACAAGCCTGGCTCGTCTCTATCGGTCCAGAAACATTCTCTGTGGTTGTCGGGTCAAGGTCAATGTCGTCTATTGATGATGGTGTGGGTGTCGACGTTGGCACGATATCAAATGACTGTGAGGCGTCTGTGGCTGTGACCGATTGTGCTGTTGCAACTGCTAGGAGCGCTGAGAGCGCTATGAAGGACCTCATGGTCTAGGGGGCGTGCAGACTATACGTTGGATTGTCCAAAACCGTGGAACTAGATATAGAACGGTGCGGTACGAATGGCGTCACCCGTACGAGGGTTGTGGACGTGGCTTGTTGAGTAGTAAAGAAGGTGTCTAGTTTTGTGTTTGATCCTTCTCTTTCTGAACACAACAATGTCTTCGAACGTCAATCCTAGTCGTAAATCTTCGTGCCCTCCGCTTGCGTTAGAGTTTTGTGGATTCGTCTTGGAATGAGCGCCTCTATAGGACGAAAATCGATCGAAGAGTGCCTCTCCGGTCTCGTGATACACGTTCCTCAGCCCAAATCTCTCAAACCAACTTCGATGGAACTAGAAAGTAGCTTCCACACATGGGCACCATTGCCATCTTAATCACAATGCACGTAGCTCAGCCTTGTTACCTGTCAAGGCCGTAACCCGCAGCAGCCGCTGCCTAAAAACGCCTCTCGACTCGTACACGTCTGCCGCGCTCTGTTTAGAGTCTTGGCTATAAGGGCCCTGCGTATCCCATGCCTGGTACATGTCGCTCAAAGTAGGCTGGCGTTGTGGCTGTTTTGGCATGGTAGGCAAATCGGATTGAAGAACATGTGATATAAGTGGAGATGCACGGGTACGCGGGACAAGCGTGCTCCTTCGTAGCGGCTAAATCCTGTAGCGTCGCTATTGTGCAGCGCTGCACTTCGAAATTAGAACCCCGATTTTGACGTTCCATGCTTCTCTGATTTGTACTTCCGTCGGTAACGGTCCGTGAGGCTGAACGTCAATGTCACAGCTTGTACTGCTTGACCGTTCTGGGTAGCGAACCTTTTCCTCCACTGTGCGCGCGCCTTCTGTGCCAAGCATTAGGGACGCCCACTGAAGACGCTTGATCCGGTGACGAAACGAGATTGGCTGGACGCCTCAATCGTTCCATCCACACAGCCTCATCATACCGGTGAGGTAATAGCCTGCCGTGGCGCGCCGAAAGATTTTGTGGAGTGAAGACGCGCCGAATTGTCCGGTCGGCTTGGATGCCTTGGATGTAACATGTAGGATCTATGGACGCCTTGTATGCCTAAGGCGCATCGCTCGTTGGTGTGCAGACGAGAAGCAGGCAGTAGTTGTTATGCATTGAGGTTTCGGCCAGGGCAGGGGGTATAACAATCGCAGGATACATGTCAATGGATGAGGTTAGCAATGAATTCATGATTGACTCAATATGATCAGGTTGTTCGAACCTTTCCATAGATCCTGCTATGCCATTGGCGAAAGCTGGATACACCGCTTTACTTCTTGATGCCCACGACAACAAGGTTGCGTGGACTATACTTGTACTCGAATACCGGCTCAACCCACGCGTGTTCGACTTCTTCCTGCTCCTTGAGCCACAGGTATCGGTCCGTGACCACAACAGCTTCCACTACGCCGGCACTGAAGGCCATCAAACTCCACATAACACTTAGTTCCTTTTTCCTCTCGGCATAGCTCACTTCGTAGTCTCTGATATCGTCATCTGTCAACCCATCCATCTTTTCTTTGATAAAGTTTGGATCAACCTCGCAGAAAGAGTTCTCAGCGGTGAGTTTTGCTAGTGCGGCGCGGACGTAGGAGACGAAATCGCTATAGGCAAATTTGCGCAGGGTACCGATGGTAAGTGGCGTAGTTTTACCGTCAGACGAGAGGCCAGGACCGCGGCCATTTGGTGGTGTCCAGTTCACCTGAGAGGTGTGACCGTTAGCTGAGACCGCCCCGCCAACGAGACCTTGTTCGTCTAAAGGTGCAGAGACCACGCCACGATCTAGGAAGATACGCTGAAGCAGGGCTCGATAGAAATGGCGGGTGAAGAACAGTTCTGAGTCGGTCACACCCCAGTTGAAAGGTGCTTGCACAGCCATCATGCGTGCTGTGATATTGAGCCGTACACCTGTTGGTTGTTTGACTTGTTCACCGTCTGCTTTCGAGTCATCATGAAAAGATTCCAGAGGCGTATGTGGTAGGGGGTAGTTTGCAAGTCTCTCGGACATGGGAAATCCCTGTGGATCGAAGGCTTTGGAAGTAGACTCCAGGCGTGGGTGATTAGGACGGAGCGTAGGTAGCTTGTAGGTAGGAGGGCCGAGGCGTTCTGTGAGCAGATTGTAGCAACATCCTACCATTGCTACTGCGGAGATATGTGAGTTGAGAAGCATGGAGCGTAGCCCATAATGAACGAGGTTGCCACATGAGTGCAGTGAGATTACCATCGCGTTTACGTCCTTCGGTTTCGGTACAGCGTTCAAGTTGGTAGCTTCAGCAACCACAGAAGTCTCCGAGCTCACAATCTCCTCGGGTACACGTGAGCTGTCCAGGACTTGGTCGATGACGGGTGTCAGATCGCCATCCTTGATCATGTGCTCGACATACTGTACGCTACCATGACCTTCATTGTATATCTGTAGCGTAGAAGTCTTCGTAGCCGGGGTTCGATCTGTAAACCCGCTGGCCTCGGCAGAAATTTCAGCAGGTGCAGGTTTTGGGACATTCTGAGAGACTTGGTGTAGTACACAGCCATCCTCATCGCAGCTCACACCGTTTTGAAGTGGTGACGCTAGATCAGTGTTCTGGGTGGCTGAACCAGATGGGGCTTCCTGGTTGTGTTTGTTTGTCCCCGATTCATCCTCCTTGGCATCGGATGGACTTGGCACATCAGGTTGTGCCGTGGACGCATCTTCCTTGGCCTCTTTGCCCTTTTTCACTTTGCCCATCTTCGCGCGATACTCCTTCTTGTTCCTCATGACCGTGGGTTTTGCTACCAATTTGGCCAAGATGTCCATGTTCTTTGCTCCTTCGATGTTGTGCTGTTTACTTTCTACAGCGACGATATGCTTAGAGTAAGGAGGTGCAGCGAGTGCGCGTCCAAGGTAGTTCTGACCTGAGCCGAAATCCACAAGATGGGTAATCGGTTTCTTATCAGACTGCGCTATCTCGGAGGTGAGTCTGTCAATATAGCGCGCAAAGTTATCAACTTCGTGCACTTTCTTGACCTTCATACCAGTTGCGATGTGACGAGATATAGCAGGTTTTTGAGGCTCAAGGCCGGAATTGGGTGGAGGGAAGTCACGAGCCAACAGATGTTTCCGTACAGTGCGGATGTACTGTAGCAGTTCTTCAGGCGGTGCAGGACCATTCCGCCAGGTTTTGTCGTTAACCTGTCCTTCCGGATTGAACTGACTGAGATCTTCCCTCATCAAGAGGTCCAAAATGTCCATGATATCTCGCGTTTTGAACCATTCTCGCCATGACTGTGGCAAGATGTGCGAATAGAGACTAGGTGACCTGGTGTAGAAGTCCAATATATGGACACCTCCACATAGTGTCTGGAGCAGCCATGAGGAAGTCGTCAAGTGCAGCAATGACTCGATGTATTCTTCAGTATTGGTGAAGTCGGGGGAAAGGGGAAGAGGCGTGTCCGGACCCATTGCGTCATCCAATCTCTCTTATGCGGAGGGCGGTATTGTTGCGTATCCGCGATCTTGGTGAGTGCGCCATCGAGAAAGTGTGGTGGAGTTGGGTGCTCATTGTGGGTGATTTTTTTGGGAAGGTGGGTCCGTGCCGAGGTGTTGAGGCGCGTCATCGCTTGTACGGGACAGCGTATCGACACGCTCCGACACCTTCACCCAGGCTTCATCGACCGCCATCTTGCTTCACGGCTATACTCTGGAGGGACAATCGGTGTCGCACAGTGCAAGATGATGTCATCACAGAACGACGAGGATCCTTTCCTCCAGGTGCAGGCGTAAGACGGCTCCATTCGCGGTTTGGGCATCTCCATTGACACGTGCTATAGAGACGTATTGTCTGCCCTCAACACGGCGCGACCGCTCTTCAAGTCGTATCTGCGTATCCGTTCCTCGGCCTCATCGGCAAACAGTCCCGAGCTTCGGGAAGCGCGCAGCGAACTTGAACAGACGCTCCAAGACCTTAGTCAGGACCTCGAGGACCTAGTCGAGAGCGTCAAGGCCGTGGAACACGACCCCTATCGCTTCGGCCTGGAGATTGATGAAGTCGAGCGACGGAGAACGCTGGTCAAAGATGTTGGCTATGAGATCGAGAACATGCGCGAGGAACTGCAGCAGACGGTCCAACACGCGAAGAACAAAGGCAAGGTCGCGGCCAATGGCGACGTCCTGCCCGACCCGGATTCCTTCGAGGATGAGGACAACTACGCGGCGTTCGAGCAGGAAAGACAAATGGAGATGATGCACGAGCAGGACGAGGCTCTTGACGGCGTCTTCCGTACTGTCGGCAACCTGCGACAGCAAGCCGATGACATGGGTCGCGAGCTTGAGGAGCAGGGCGAACTGCTCACCGATGTCGACAACGTGGCAGACAGAGTCGGCGGTAAACTTCAAACAGGTCTCAAAAAGGTCGGCTGGGTCATCAAACAAAACGAAGGTAAGATTCGTGCTATCCGTGTACCGGGCGTCGTTGACCGACTTTCCTAGATTCCTGGTCCAGTTGCTGTATCGGCGTCCTCATTTTCGTCCTGATCCTCCTCCTCGTTCTACTCTTGTTCCTTTGAGTGCGGAATTCTACCTCAACCTTAGGCATACACGGAACACGTCCTTCCGAGCCCCAAAACGCCGAAACACCAGCGCCGAGCACCATACGTCCTCTTGTTTGCACTAGCTCTATCATAGTATGATCGACAGTCACAGCCGACGGCACCGCATCGAATCTGCACACATCGTTGCCGATGCACATACAACAAGAAACCCGAGACTTTGTCGCAAAGTTGCCGGATCCCGTTTCTTGGCTTGCATTGCCGGTGCTATTATGCGGGCAATTTATCTGGGGGACCCATCCTTCATTAGCGCTTTTGCATGAATGCATTGCGTGTGCAGTGAAGGTGCCCTGTGACAACGAGCTGGTTCCCACCGCTTGATCACGTACATGAAGAATACTCCCATAGTATACGACTGGCAGACGTGCTGCCATTGAGCGGGACTGAAATGTTGCACATTTCTTCGATTGTCGCCTGTGCATGGATGAGTGTGAGAACCCTCACGCCAACGAAGGCACCCATATGTAACGTCTGTTCGCTACACAGAGTTTTCACATAATGTAACAAAGACAGTTAAAATCAGGAAAGAGCCGTACGTGCGAACAGACCACCCGCTCAAGGCAGGTAGCGTTGCCTCTGAGACGTCGCCTGTATGAGACGTTCAGGCTCTATCCAAGAACTTCTTGAAAACCACAATCGTCATTGCTTCTTATTAGGCCGTTCTATACCCGGCTATGCCCTAGCCACACTTTCCTCAATGTCCCGTTGTTGTGCTTGCGATAAGAATACCGCCTTTCTTCCGCTTGCGAGTCATCACTCACTGCATGGCTGCATCGCACTACAGCCACAGCGATGCTGAACAACCGCTCACCAGTTCAGAAACCAAAACGGTCAAAACCAGCCTCAGGATTCCGCGCCGAAAAGTCACTCTCATCTGCATTACCCTCCTTCTTAATGTGTTGCTCTGGAGTGCCATCATATGTCTTGTCACTTCACTCTACCAGATAATATCGGATCCGCAGGATATAACAAACGTTGCGCCCGTGGTCTTGACGTTAACTTCAGTATGTGCTTGGAGTCTTGCAGCAAAGAACAACACTCACTGGATCTCACAGGCTCTCACGACAATCGCATACACGTTCATACATACAGTTTTTTCCCTCAAACAAAAGACATGGGAGCAGCAACAGCGACACACTTCAGCTGTCAAGAAGACTTCCTACGTTGCCATTCGCCTAGTGATTTCGCTATGCGTCTTGTGGCTGCTGACGACGGGATGGAACATGATAATTGTCGCCAGAAGACCTGTTTGCTTACATGAGGCACCCGGACTTGAAGGTTGGGAATTCGGTTCTACTTGCTTGGGAAGCCGTATTGGCATCGCGTTTGCCGCCATATCGCTGTATGTCGAAAACTGTTCCTTAAGCTTGTGCAAGATTTAATTGTGTCACTAGAGTTACGTCATGTGTGCTTTTTGGAGTACTTGCCGTTGTCAATCGTCCCTTCGAGGCTCATCTATTTAGGCATGGCTATCAAAAGCCTGCAGATATATCGCGTTCGCCACATCCTTCCTTTGGGCAACCTCTAACTAGAAATCTAACATGGACATTGGAGAAACGTATTGATGACCGACCTAGGTCTGTATCGACACACAGGAGCAGGTCATTCGAAACGGTCAACCGAAGTAAAGGTCTGGCACAACCAATCGTTTCAGCTCCTTCTCGAGTTCGCTCATCGGACTCCAGGATTTTTACTTCGCCTTATGCGCCGCCACCCATACCTCCTGCTTACATAGCGGCACAGCGCAACTCGTCAGCCTATACTTCAGATCGCTCATCCCATTCGTCCATGAACCGTGGTTTCTTGACACGTCCGCCTCGGTTGTCTGGTAGTACGCGAATCCCTGAGTCTGTACCTTTGTCCGTACCAGCACAGTATCCAATGTCTACATGGCGCGCCATACATCCCGAAGGTCCTACTTCAGTTCCACTGTCGACACACTCGCGTCCTCGTTCTTACAGCACTGGGTTATCTTACCAAAGTGAATACTCGCGCTCCTCTGTATTTCTTACTCGTCCAGCTCGTCTAAGCAACTCAAGATCTAGTTCGCGACATGGATCTGAGGAGTTGAAAGGTCGAAACGACCGGTTTTCGAGCAGCATCGTTGAGAGCAAGAGCGCTAGCCCTAGAGGGGGTGCTTATGCCATCAAGCATGGTACACCTCTAGCTCATACGGAACATGTCAAACGTCAAATTGGGCACCATACGCGCACGGCCAGTGCCCCACAGGCTGCCTCACACAGAGAGTTTCAGAAAGAGGCTGATGTAAAGATCGTCACTCGTAAACCAGTGCCAGTTCGGCAATTGAGATCCGCTAATCGTGTGGGAATCTCAAGCGCTTTCATTTATGCTGAAGCAGCAGAAGATAGCGTCAACAGGATGTTGAGCGACTCCCGGAATAAATTGGGAAGCGCTGGGTCAGTGAAGGCAAGAACAATGACCTTCGAGCAAGTAAAGAACAAGCCGTTGCCGAAGATTGCTATCTTTAGCGTCGAGCTCGATGGACATATGGTACCAACTAGATGAACGAACATCCTGGTATACAAACAACGCCAAGCCCCTCATCCGCGGCTCTTAGAAACCATTCCATAAGCATGAAGATCGACACAGCGTCAACCAACAACGAAAGTAAGCGAGTATTGCTTTGGGAAACGCCGACCTGGAAACAAACGGTGGAACGGGCCGCTCATACGTCAATTTACTGTCGTTTCAGGCCCATCTCTGGTCGTTGCTGATGGGCTACTGTTGGTCGGCCATGGGGTCAGCAGCGCCATCCGTCAGCTTACAACGGATGGCGGGTGACTTACCAGGCCGCAACCCGGATGCTGGTCAGACCTATTACTCGCTAGATACAGCTACACGAGCCAGTAATCTCTGCGACGTCTCTCGGCCATAACTTACCACCACCAACGCTGACCATTTACAATCGCTTCGTACTGGCAGACCTTGCCGGTGAGCTCCGCTTCGGTTTGCACGGTCCATTTTCTTATGTGTCCTACGCTAGTCAATCGCGAGAAGATGGCCACTCATCAGACCTTATGGAGCACCAGATGAACTCACCTGCAGTACCTGAGTGCCAGCTGTAAATGATGAGTTATGTCTCCATGGCGGCTTTAAGCATCAGGTCGGGAAGCAAGTAGAGCGTTGGCTATTCACAGCCGATGTTTGCCGCTTTTCAAGCATAGACATAAGTCAGCAGAACAGGAGAGGAAAGAGCTCGTAAGCGTAGGAGTTTTACTAGCACGCGCTCATATACGAGCTATAACGTCATCTTTTATGTACCCGTGCGATAGCAAAAGCGGTTTCACGCTCGATCGGGTGAGCAATCAACAACATCACTTTCTCAACTCGACGAAGTCCTGTTGTTTGGCGGCTTATCTCACTTCCATAAAGACATTAGCAAGGTCTTCCACCATGGACTGACGTATATCATACCGCCAAAGAAAATACGCCACCGACTGGAAAGGTTGGAAATAATCCAAGCCCAGAACTTCTGTAGCATTTCATAGGGAAAAAGAGCCTTTGCTATGCATCACAAAATTTACGGTAACGGTGAAATGCTGAGTATATCCGAGGCATAGCCCTTCTGCTATAAAGCAGAGTTCAATTCCAAAGAAGAGATGCCAACCTTGCTACATTTATTCATACACTCGACCAACAATACTATTACGTTTCAATATCCCGATCGCCAAGATGCAGTTTGCAACCCTTGCCACCTTTCTTGCCTCCATGGCCCTGACCGCTACTGCCGCGCCTGCCAACAGCATTGAGGTTCGCCAGGAAATTCCGCATGTTCGCGCCACTTGTACGTGATACCTCTGCATGTGCGAAAGCCATTCAAGGACATGACTAACCTTCACATCAATCTCTAGTCTATCGCGACACTGGATGTGGCCGCGACGGAAGCTCGTACGGCGATGACTACGACCCACTCCAGAACACCACCGCCACCGGCCTCAGCACGTGCATGAACCTGCCTTCAAGCTTCAACTTCCCCAGCACTTACTTCAACGAGACTGGGAGCCTTACCAGAACAAGTATGTTCTTACAGTATGCCAACGAGATTCGGGTATGGGAAACTAACCAGTGACATTTAGTTCGTTTCTACGACCTCCCTTGCTCTCAACTTACCACTGTCGACAGCGGACATCATATCGATATCACGCCTGGTTCGGTTGGTTGCCAGACGCTGACACTCAAGTCTTATGTCACTTTGTAGAAAAGTTGGTATGATGAGGAATCAGTCAGCGAAGGGAATGAGAATAGCTTTGTTGGGTGGCAGTATGATGTGATTTGAGTCGGGACCAAAACTCCGACTCTCATTACGGTGGGGCTGGTGCGGGAAGTAACTTACATATCCTAGATTCTTCTAGTCACTCGTTTATAGCAGAATACAATTACGCGGGGCAACCCAGCATGCAAAACTACAACAATTTGGATGACATACTGGCCGAAATACGACATAAGTGCTTGACTTCTTCTGACTCTTGAAAGCTGGCCAATTCTTCGGAGTTCAATTTGTAACTCCTGTTAGGCAAACTCAAAAGACCTGTCAGCTTGCAGTGGGCGGATTACAACCTATCGATGCTGTCTCTCGGCACGTGAGGGAGTATGCATGCACAGCATTTCAGCTTACCTGCAAGATCGAGAGGCTTAGAAGGCCGTCTTTAAAACATGACATGAAGATTCAGTCCACGCAGGTGGATTTTTTTGTCGCTGCCTCGTATAGATCCACCAACCACCAGCCAACAGTGCACTCTCCTTCGTGTTGTATCGCCTCTCAGCTTATAGAATATTCCTAGAAGGCCCTAGTTGCTCAATAAGAACTTCTCACAAAGCATCATTCGTACCATATCAGACCAAGCTCATGTGAAAAGATGCAAGCCACCAACTGCGCGATCAGAATCGAGCTCGATAGCGGAATCGGTGTAGCAATGCAATACGTAACGTCAACGGTGCTTATACCTATGAATCGATAACTATGTGATAGCACAAGAACCCCAGCGAGACATATAAAGCAAGCATTGCACACCTACTCGTCTTCTCTCATCTTACCATCTCATCTCATCACCTTATCTCCCCATTCATCTGTATCAAAAATCCTCTACTTCCAAATTCCAGCCATGCAGCTCACCATCCTCACCACTCTTCTCGCCACTGCGCTCACAGTGAGCGCCACCCCCATCGAACTACAGGAGAAACGCCAACTTGAAGGTGCTGCTCGCGTCTACGCCCGCTTCTATCGGGACGGCGGCTGCGGTCCCTCTCCATGGGCCGAGGATACTGTCTTCCTTCAGTCCGATACTGTGGGACTTGCTGGATGCCAGGATCTGACGGTTGGGCCGTTCCCTAGCACCTTCTTCGATGTCAACAACTTCAGCAGAACCGGTACGTGATACATCATAGCACGCAGGAGTGATTCGCTAATATACACAAAGTGAGATTCTTCAACCTGCCTTGCTCTCAGCTTACTTCGACTACGAGCGGAAACTTTGTCGATATCAAGCCCGGACAGGCCCCAGGGTGCCAGAACTTGGCCATCCGCTCTTGGGTTACCATCTAGGTAGCCTCGTATCGTCGAATGTTAAATTCGCGATTGATGCGAAAGCGAAAAATAGAAGCGGCTTCAAATCATGGGACCGATAATAAAGGTAGAAGCATCGAGAGTCGCAGAGAATTTGTGAGATCAGTCGGGTCCAACACTCCGGTCTTGTCTTGCGGGTGTTATTTCCTACCTTCTAAGTCGCTCATTTGATAACAATACAAGATCTTGGGGTCGCCCCCGCTCATGAATGAACAAACACCTCTGATGCAACGTGGAAGTAACCTAACGTTTGTCTGCGGGAACATTACAGCAGAGAAATGACAAATTCAACACGATAGTCGTGAATGCTTGGAAGAATAGTCAATCTTTTTTGGTTTTTCGCTACTACTTCCTGTTTGACTTCCGGTTATTCGTTTACCTTGGACGGTGAAAGTACATGGCTCACATACAGTTAGAATTGTTCCCCGGCAAAGTTCGTACGATGAACACTTTCGAGGTCTCCTAGTGCACGTGGCAAGTGAAGGATCAAGTGTACAATGACTCCTCTTTGTTGGCTTCGCCTCATGTTGTGTCACGCCCCCTCACCAGCCTCGCCGCAACCGTCTCTGTGCTACTGACAAAGAGTCAAAAAAATTACTTCCTCCAGGCTCATCCTGCCACTTCTTACTCAGTCCACCTACTCAAAATTCTGAACAACTACTTCCCTTGCATACTCGCAATGGGTATCCTCAATCTAATCCTCTCCAGCGTCTTTGCCATCTATGTCGTAGCGGCTCCTACAGGCTCCGAGCTACGCTCTCCGCTCACCGTTCCCGTTCCCGGCTCTACGACATACGATGCTGATGTCGCAGTAGCCGTCGCCTACGCTCGCTCTCAGCCTTCCTTTGACACTGTCAAGGTGTCTGCTACCACCCCAAAACAGAGAATGTGTGGCGAGTACAAACCTGCAAACAGGCCTGGATCCGAATTTGTATATTCGACCGGAGGGTTACTCTGCGCCGAGACAGAGCATGGCGAGGAAATGGAACGGTTCACCAACTACCACTGTGGAGTTTGTATGGTCTTTGATGGTAAGTGTGGCGGTCATTTCCTGTTTCCCTAATACAACCGCTTTCGACGCGGTGTAGCCTTAAGAAAAATAGAATCACTAATGAGTTTTTTAGAATCTCAATGCCAAGGCAGCTTGATAGGATACTGGGGTCCGGCTACGCCCCCAATGGAACTCCCGGGCGACAAGTCCCATTGGGCCCATGGCGGCAAGAGCTACTGGTGCGTCTGAGGGAGACTACAGTTGCTACGACCTCTGCAAGGATGGGACTCGTTTAGCAGCTAAGGTGCAAACAGTGGCTAGCAGCGAAGAAAAGTGGTACATGGAGGATGAAGTTTTCCAAGTTGCGCAACAACGAGCTGATGAATATATATGTCAATCACACAAAAGCAGCGCTTCATTGCTTCTCGCAGAGGAAGCTGGAGAAGACAATCCGTGTCAATAATTGAATGCAAATGAGGATTGATAAAGGAACCGTGAAGAGTCGCTGGTGACACTGACTTATATGTCACAAGTTGTAGCCAACGCATAACATCCTAACATGTTTTCCTCTCAATCATCTTACGAACGGACAGGCATTTCCTCCTTGCCTTCTCCCTATCCCTTCTCAGTTTCCAATGTATCCCCAGCGCCGACCCATTAACAACACAAACATCACAGCAACTTGGACAAACATACCGTTACATGTCAAACTTGGCATTTCACAAGCAGAAATGGATGCCCATCTAGCTTTGCACGCGCACGTGCACGATTACGAAGAATGCGAGGGAGTGTGTGAACCAAACTTGAAATCCGAAGCGGATGAACAAGCATGTCTGGACACCGTGATAGAGACCAGGAAGTTGGCGGAGAGAGAAGCCGTAGAAGGGAATAGGAAGCAGCGTTCAGATGGACGTGACTACAATACGAAAATGGCGTCGAATGAGGATGTTATGGCTGTCATCAGTATCAGTGACGAAGCCACGGTGGTTATAACAGACAGATGTGCAGAGAAGATGGCCACCACAAGGGTTATACAGAACGCCAAAGCACGTGAAGATGAGGAACGAAAGAAAAGAGGACACACATCGAGTGAAGTATGGACAGAGAGTCCACACTTCCTTTGAGGACCTTGAAGATATCGTGATTCTTGGAAATGGTATAGCAACATTATCTCGTACTTCCTTCCCGTCTCGTAGGTCGTTATCCAACGGCGCTTTGCCCCATGACATCCTCTCAGTTGTTCTATTACTCCAAAACGCCTTGCTGGGTGACGGTGATACGTTGGTACATGGCGAGTGACATGCTTGTGGGTATGCGCAAAGTCGGAATGAAACTCTCTACGTGTGAATGCGTAGGTAGTCCAGAATTGGTGTAGAAAGTTTGTGGAAGAGCAAAACATCTTTCGTGGACACCTAACAACCGGTAGATGTAGATAGTAGTGGCATTGCCTAGCGTATACGTCGACATGTATCCGCTCCGACTGAAAACGGGCCTAGAATGCTGTGTTACCTCAAGTCGCTTCTGTACTTGACTTGTCTGCTTCTGTTTCGATGTTCTGCGTCTTTTCCTCACTCTTCTTGGCTTCGGATTCTTGTTTTGGCTCCGCCTTGGATTCAGCTTTGGGCTGCGCCACTGTCTTGCTGACCACGAGGCCGATAAGATGAGAGCCAACGTTACCGGCGCCGTCAATAGGTCCAAGCTTTGCATCGAACAACTTCGCCTCGCGTAGCAATCTAGAAATCCGTTAGCCATTACACATACAACGGGTTCATCCTGATGACATACCGTGCTTTGCCACCAGGCGTCTTGACTGCCGCCTCTTTGATGACATTGCCAACCTCCTCCCTGTAACTCTCAAATACAGGACCCATTATCATGCGGACTTGAATCTCGCTCAAGTACTTGTTGATAACCTTGTGCATGGTCACGGTGTCCTTGGTCAAGCTCTCCATACTAGGACTGACATCTTTGTTGACCTCGGCATCAGTATCCCACTCCACCTTCTTGAGACTGCGCATGTGGACTTTTGCTCTTCCAGATAAGATGCCTGTCAGTTTCTCATGGATCTGATTTTGCTGGTCATACAGTAGGCGCTTGACGTTGTCAAATTCACCAATAGAAGACTTATTGGAAGCGGATGCGGTGCGCCGTCGGAAGCATTCGCGGATATAGGGTAGAATAGCGATAATGAATGATAATGTCTGAGAGGCAATGGCAAGATGTTTGGTGTTGATGTTCTTCAAGCCTGCAGACTGCATGGCGCCAGCGCCTAGGATCAATTGGCATAATCGTGAGTTGAAGAGTTTGATGTAGTCGCAAAGGGAAGTGGAGACTTCGGAAGTCATACTTGGCATGGCTGAAACAAGAATTTCGAAGCGCTCAATGCCACGCAGGACGACTGTCGATGATTCGGAGATTGTGTACTTTTCCTCATCGACAACGGCGGGAATAGTGGTCTTGTTCTTTTCTTTGGGCTTGTCTTCTGATGTGCCGTTGGTTTGCGCTGATGTGCCATTTGTAGTCGGCTTTTCGATGTCTCGAAGGAGGTCACCAGTCTCTGCCCAGCTTGCAGGGTCGCTCTCCATACCCTTCAACAAGCGTGCTAAGACCTCAGTATCCTGTGCATCGAAGTCCTTCGGTTCCCAACGATCCGAGTCCATCGCCTTTACAAGCTCTTGCTTCTCAAAATCGCCAAACTTGGACACAAAGTCATTGATATGAGTATTGACAACACCTTTGAGAGCGGTACCGGAGCGTCCTGAGACAGCTTCGCACTCGTCGGCAAACAGCCTGCATATGTGGAAGTATCGTAAGAAGCGTTCCAAGGGAAGATTGGCTGTGGCCTCAGAGCGGACCTTGAGAAGCTTAGTGATCTGTGTCTGCGCTGCATCAACAGCCTGACCCAGGAGGCTCGACATGTCTAAGGCCTGCATCAGCTCCATCTGCAGGTCATTTGAACTCGGAGCTGGTACACCGTTGCCCATGTAATCATCGATGCTGTGCATACATGGACTTCGTGGGGGAGATCGGAGCCCACCAGCAGAGGCGGGAGGGGTAGTAACGCCGCTGGTAACATCAAGAAGCACTTTGATCAGCGTACTGAGACGGCGTAACGCTTCTCCAATGTCAGTGAAGATATTGGCGAAAAATACCTCAGCATCTTCAGGGTCCATGGCGCGTAGATTCCTAGCAAGAATAGAGTTTTTGTCTTGCTGACTAGTCCCTCGGCCACCTCTTGTGGATACAGAAGCCATAGATCCAGTATCATCCTCTGTTGAGCTCGGTAGGTGTTTCCGGATGATGACTTTCATCTCCTTGATCATCGCTTCTCTGAAAGTAGCACTAGCTTGATTCGTAAATTGCGCACCGCTCAAGCCATACAAGCTGGCTCGCAGCTCTGCACGTAGCTTTTCGTCGGTCGTCATATAGGCCGGTAAAGTCGTCTTCGGTTTCTGGTTGGATCCTCGTGCCTTTTGCGATGCAGCAGTCCATCGTTCCAGCGTATCGTGAGTCGGAACTCGTTTGACATGCTCTCGCAGATCCGTAAGTAAGGTGTCGACAAAGCGTACCTCGAAGCCTCTGCCCACACGGAACTTGAGCTCGGTGATGCTTTCGAATACGCCGTCTAGTGCTCTGAGGTGTCGTAGATCGACCAACTGCGGAGGTAATCGAGAATCCAGCCAAGATGTACTCTGAGAATCAGTCGTGTCCAGCGCGCCTGTAATTAGTCGTTCAATGACTTCTATCCGGGTCATGGCAGTCTCGAGATGACCATCAACAACGGCTTCGTCACAGTGCGACAACCCAACGATGACAGCTTGCAGCTGGTCAACCGAGTCGGTCAGCCTCCTCAAGTTCTCCCTGCGCCTCTTCATTTCAACGACCTTCAAGCCTCCTATTGCCATCTGTTCGTCCAGCCTCTTCAGATCCTCCCTAAGTCCTTTTATTCTTGCGACAGAATCCGATGCTTCCGTCTGAAGTTCGCGCAGAGAACCGAGTGCGGCGAAGAAGGAGGTCGATGCCGTAGATATGGCTGAGATCAAGTGCACCTCGACCGTGTCCATGTACCACGACAACTTCTCTTGTAAAATGGCGTTCGTAGCTAGAGCTTTTCTCCCGGGAGGTTGTGGCACGTCCAAGGAACCGTTTGCGCCATGGTCATCGCTGGTTGCTGTTCGGACTGGCCGAACCACCTCGGACCGCTCGCTCACTACGTCAAAGGTCCGCGGGTTTTCTAGGTGAAAGTTGTCATCGAAGTAGATGTTCGGTATGGTGGAAAGGGGGGTAATAGCTGGTAGGGTGCGCTTGGATCCGCTCGTTCGACGCTTCGGTTTCGGCGGCCCATTGGGAGTAAAGGGTGTTCCTGCCAAGTTGGGTGTCCCTGCTGGCGATTCAGTATCATCCTTCTTTGACCCTCCCCTTGCTGGCTGGGCGGACTCGGCTTCGGCCTCGGCTTTTGCGCGCTGGAAAGCCTCGTACAGACTGCCGACTTGCGATAGGTAAGGATTGAATGCAGAAGGTTCGATGTGGGGTATGTTTGTGAGCGTCACGGGTGGTATGTCCTTGGTAGATGGCGGGCGGTGGCCCGAAGTGGCTGTGGCAGTGGTATGAGGGACCATGCCAGTCCTCATGATGGGCGGCGTGAGCAGCGTGGAGATGGCATTGTTGCTCTGCTCTCTCACCGCGCCCATGGTGCTCTTGAAGCCGCTGTCGAGCGAGCCACCGACCGAGTGTATCGAGGACGCTGTGGAGCCACGTCGCGGCTTGTAGCGCCCGCCTGTGGAGCTGGGCCTGTTGGTCCAGTCATGGTTTGAAGCGGGAAACGGGAAGGAGCCCTGGGGAGGGTTCGGCGACAGGAACTCGAAGCTCTCGGTCGATCTCCGTGGGCTATTGGGCGAGGACATGATGGCGGCGCAGGTCGGGGGTGGTGAATAGGCGGCGGCATGGGTGGACGGGGGGCAGATTTATCGCATGCTGGAGCAGATGTCGACTTGTATCAAGCTTGCATTCATCAATCAGGCAAAGAGAAACGAAAAGCGCATTACTGTGGATGTTGTGTCTCTCGTCATTGAATCTTGTCTCTAGCCAAAGTTCCACGCGCTCGGTCGGTGGTGATGGTGCTTGGGCCCTGCCTGACAAGGATCATGCAGCCGAAACACACCCGCCGCTGTCTCCACCTGCCTTAGACCCTTATGTAAGCCACTGTCTTATCTGTCAACCATTACCTGACTCAAGATGATAAGTTGAGATACAATGCCATAAGATTGCTATGTAGTTGGTTAACAAGAAATCTCGGCGGAGCAAGCAAGTATGATTGACCAGTCTTGGTCAGGGAGGAAGAGGAGAAACCCTGGTGTAGACAAGAGACCCGAAGCAAGAGCAGGAAAAACCCATGGACGGTCGATACAGCGAGTGCGTAGTGCAATTGCGCTCTATGCTCCTTGGTATGCGGAAGAAGAAAGACCGAGGGGCGAAAGTAACGAAAAGGATTGTCCTACTCTGCTTGAACCTGTATCAGGCGTGTCATCTTTTCACCGTCGTGTGAGTAGGTAATCATCAAACATGTAGCCTTGGAGTGTATGTACTATAACACTAGAATAAGAGATAGCGGGAGTGGCGGGGTCGCAAGTAACCAACTACTGCACCGTCTCTTTCATCTCTTATGCTCCTTGTCCTGAGATCCAGTATGTACCTGCACTTTTACACCTTTCCTCGTATAGATGTGGATGGTTCCCTCCTGCGAGTCATAATCAAACCCACCTAAGTCACGTTTACCTCCAGAAGACCGTAGTGAAGCCAGCGCCTTTCTACGCTTTGAATCGGGTGGACTAATTTTCCACATGAAGCTGGATCGCTTGTTTATGTTCGACAAAGCCGATGTCGCACTGGACTTGTGCAATGAAAGGCTGTCGGATTTGGACGCTGTTGATATTGGTGCTGAGAGATTCGAGACACCTAGGCGTTCTGATGTGTCCTCTCGTACAAGAACGCGCAGTTCACGAGAGGCTCGTGTACCTTTACCTTGGGTACTACCATCAGCAGAACCATGGGAAGTGGAAACTGAAGTGTAGATGTATTCTTGCGTTTCCTGAACTACGGTTCTATTGGATGTCGATTGGCTAATGGTCCGCGTGATAGTCGGACCAGGCGATACTGGTGAGGAGCGAGGAGTCGTCTGCTGCGTGGTGTCATCGGTCTTCATTGTTGACTGCGATCCGCCCATTTCTTTGATATACTTCTTGGCCAACAGAGCAATATCACGAGTATGGCCATCAAGCTTGTCAGCATCGGGAAGCTCCCACTTCTCCTCAGCCATACGTTCCAGGCCCTCTAAACAAACAGCATCTTCCCAACTTCTGTCA